GCTGGAAATGTGGCTTTGTTCTCCCCTTCCGCCTTCCCATTAATCTCTCAACGACCTCTTAAAAGCGCACTGATTCTTCTCATTATTCCCTCTTTCTTCACGACAATCAAGGTAAGGATCTTGCGTCCCATAACATTTGATATGGATTCTTGGTTCTCATATGTGAATAGAGAGCTTATCAACTGCAGTGTTTCGCGCACCAACTATCCGCTCCCGCGCGGCCGCTTCGCCTGGACTCTGGCCTATTTCGCGGACATGCTCTCTAATCACTTTCCCACCGCGTGCCTGGGAGAGGGGGAATCAATCAATCGCAAATGATTAGAGAGCAAGTTCGCGGAAGAGGTGTAAGAGTCCCGCGCGGGAGCGGAGTGCTGGTGCACCCGACATTGCAGCTGATAAACCGTATATCTTCACCAGACCTTAATGTATTTACATATCATATTTGAATTCACTTTTCTTCCCCCTGCATATTCGGGTCGAATTTACCTTTGGCTGAGCAGATTTAGCGGTTCTCACAAGTCCGCTCAGTACAGGCTGTACCAAACCGGATCAGGGCTGGAGTGAAGTGATGCGCATTCGCATCGCGCATCGCCACGACTCTGCGTCACGTCTTCGATAAACTTCAACTCAGATTAGGCGAGGATTTAGTGTCGGTCGCAGCCATAGGTGCGATGGGGTGAGCGGGGTCCCTCCCAGCTGATTTTGACCCTCAAAAGTGAAGGGTGTCGACCCGGGGGGGGGGGGGAGGATTTTCTTCCAAAAAAAATTTTTAATAATTTTTGTAATTAATAGAATTTTGTATATATAATTTCTGCTGAGATTGCATAATTTAATTTTTGTATTATTTTATTTGTATATATTATAGTAAGAATATATATTTTTAGTCCATTTTTTATATAATTTTGTAATTGATAAGTATTGTAAATTTCATCTTTTATTTTTTATTTTTATTTTTTTCATTTTTTTGGATTTTTAATTTACTTCTTTGTACGCAACAGCTTTTTTTCAGGTGATGGACAGCTTATTTGGCACCTGTAAAATTTGCTATGATTATGAATTATTGTCGCAAATAAATTTATTGCGGTATATGGAGTGCAATAAACGAATTAAATGTTTAATTATGCCGTGTTATTTGATTAGGAATTTCAAAGTGTAAATAATATTTGTACATGAGTATGAATCTGAAAGATAACGATCTAGGTGGATCGCACTCATGAAGAGCTTTCGACTGATATATAATATGTTGGCCTGGAACGACGTCGCTACGGAATCATCGCTTCGCTAATATATAAAAAAATTAAATTTTCAAAATTATGTAACTCTTGTAAATAATATTGTATCTCGATGGGAAGGGTGTAAATGGATTGCACTCATCAAGAGTATTCGATTGATATGTAGTATGCTGGCCTGGAACGAGGTCGCTATGGAATCATCAGTTTGCTGAAATGCAAAAATGAGGATAAATCAAGGTTTTAAAATTAAATAACTCTTGTAAATGATAATGTGCCGGGATGAGAAGGGTGTCTGTGGAATGTACTCATTATAGGCTTTTGAACGGTATAAACAAGTTGGCCTCAATGGAGTTCTTTATAGAAAAATCGTGCCTCAAAAAGACGAAAAATTACGGTGCTAAAAATCGAATTTTCAAAAATAACTTTTGTATAAGTGAATGAAATAGGAAGGGAAGGGTATAGGCGAACTCTACTCCTCAAGAGCTTTCGAGTGATGTATAATACGTGGGGAGTTCATGCTGCTGAACTTCGGGAACAGGGGGTGAGCAAACTTGGCCGAAATGCTCAGCCTCTCTCACCTTATATCATTATCTCGCCCCTTGTGGGTGAGCATTTCGAAGTTCCCGAAGTTCAGCAGCATGAACTCCCCACGTATTATACATCAATCGAAAGCTCTTAAGGAGTAGAGTTCGCCTATACCCTTCCCTCTATTTCATTCATTTATACAAAAGTTATTTTAAATAATTCGATTTTTAGCACCGTAATTTTTCGTCTTTTTGAGGCACGATTTTTCTATAAAGAACTCCATTCAGGCCAACTCGTTTATACGTTTGAAAGCTTATAATGAGTACATTCCACAGACACCCTTCCCATCCTGACACGTTATCATTTACAAGAGTTATTTAATTTTGAAAACCTTGATTCATCGTCATTTTTACATTTCAGCAGACTGATGATTCCATAGCGACCTCGTTCCAGGCCAGCATACTACATATCAATCGAAAGCTCTTGATGAGTGCAATCCATTCAAACCCTTCCCATCGAGATACAATATTATTTACAAGAGTTACATAATTTTGAAAATTTGATTTTTTTTATATATTAGCGAAGTGATGATTCCGTAGCGACGTCGTTCCAGGCCAACATATTATATATCAGTCGAAAGCTCTTCATGAGTGCGATCCACCTAGATCGTTATCTTTCAGATTCATACTCATGTACAAAAATTATTTACACTTTGAAATTCCTAATTAAATAACACGGCACAATTAAACATTTGATTCGTTTATTGCACTCCATATACCGCAATAAATTTATTTGCGACATTTATTCATAATCATAGCAAATTATTTACAGGTGTAAGTGCCAAATAAGCTGTCCATCAGCGCCATAAGCTGTTGAATATGTGCTATTGACCATTGTCCATGTATTGTTCGGTCGAAATTTTGTTCACAACATTCTGCGTTCCATAATTTCCCTGGAATTGTATTTTTTATTTTACATAAGTTTTTAATTACGCGTGCACTACTTCCTCACCTGAAATTTTTTTCCTCTGTCCCAAGCGAAGTGGGGGGGGGTAGCCCAGGCTCCAAAGTGAAGGGAGGGTGAGCTTCGGCTCACCCCATCGCACCTATGGTCGCAGCATTTCTGTCCGGGGAACAGAAGAAAGTGAAAATTTTGCGAATAAAGATGCTTGGCGTTTGCGACACACTCCAATATCTTTTGAGATGCTTCACAAAATTTTGAGCCCACATAATCTCAAAAAATTTATGCTGGGCTATTTTGAAGTTCTGAAAAACTTCAAAAGAATTCTGATTATTTACGAGTATCAGCAAGTTACCTACGCCCCCCCCCCCCCCCCCGCATCGTTCTCACGCTGAGAGGTTATCGTGCATCCCTAGATCATTCCCATATGAACCATCAACGTGGCTGCCCTTCGATCGTTTCACGTTAACTCCAGCAGCAGCGCCAGTTAAGGCGCTTTTTCCAAGCTGACATGTTAAAATGATCGAAAGACAGCCACGTTGATGGTTTATATGGGAACAATTCTAGGGATGCACCATAGATTGGCGGGCATCCGCCTCACAGCGGCACGCGCCGTGTAGCTATACAGTTATCATACGTGCAAAGAACCCATGTCTGTATCTCTTCTAGCGTTCGCTCGCAATATATATTCACTTGATCCATTTCGCTATTGGTCAAAATCAGTGAATTGACCGATAGTAAAGTGAATGAAGTGGAACGTATGGTGTGCACATACCTGATCGCTGCTGATTTTTCTCTCTGATCAAGCGCGCCGCCGTCAACCATTAGCATCTGCTGATATGTACCTTGTATTCTAAGAGACCGGTCGTACTATTCCAGGAGGTGATTGCTGCAATTCCTGTAATTCCTGCAATTCGTAACTCCTCGACTTCCGATGTGACGCAGTACGGAGTGCTTTGCGAATTTCAACACACATTGTTTTTTCGCAATATGCATTGTTACAAGACCCGCAGGAATCCCAGTAATAGTATGGACGGTCCATACCATACCAAACGGGTTTTCTGATTGTGAGAAAAGGGCTTTGCTGACGAGATCATCAGACCGATATCGCCTTTTCTGATGATCTCAGTCGAGGAACAGTGCAGCTGGGACGGGTGTGGGCCAAGATGATAATAGCGTAGCGCTAACAGCGTCAGCCGCAGCTGTACTGTATATATGTTGCGCTAGTGGGGTAGAATACTATTTGTCACCGAATATAGGAGAGTCCTGCGGACTTCTCACAAGGGAACGATACTAGGTGTCCGTGGCCTTTCGACATGAAATGTATACCATTACACTCGTCTTTGAACGCTGATTCCGATTCTGACTTCCGCTCCTGCTAATGTTTCTCTGGAAGTTATAAGGATTTTCGCGCCAAGTTTGGCCTCTGAGGCGTAACAAAAGTTAGGTATTTTCGAAGTAAATGCATGCCCTTACTCCTCGAGGCTGTGGAATAATGTAAAAAAATGGTTAGTATTTGCTCTAAATGTATTGATCATACTGGCGGTATTGGAGCTCCGATCGTATTTCCTTTGCAGCCAAACTCGGCGCAAAATCCTTCGTAACTTCTTTCAGAGAAACGACTGGCAGAAACGGAGGCTAGATTCGGAATCAGCGTTCAAAGGCGAGTGTAATGGTATACATTTCATGTCAAAAGGTCACGGACGCCTAGTATCGTTCCCTTGTTAGACGTCCATGCATGTGAAAGGGGTAGAGGACTATATGTCGCCGAAAAAGGGCGGTCCCCGCAGTCATTTGCGACAAATACGCAGCCTTGTACATGCGCGGACATGCGTTCCTGGGGAATCCGCCCGGGACTCTTCCAAACTCGGCGACCTATAATCCTTCACCCGCGCAACTTGGGCAGACCTTGCCGGCAACCTATGGCCGATCCCCAAGTAGCAAAGTGGGGAAATGTTGTTCTTGCTTGCTAATGCATAGGAGCTTTGTACCTCTGCAGTAAGGGTGCAAATTTTGGCACACGTCTGCGCCACAATTTACAGGTGACAGCAAATGTTGCTATGCGATACCTCTAAGGCTTATAAGGTAGTCCAAGTTCTAACATCTAGTAAATGATTATGCACTATAGCTTACTATCTTATCGTTTCCTGCATTTTTCGTTGGTGCATCGTGTTATCCCTTGTCGCTTGATTTGTGCAGCAAACAGCGGTAGTTTGATGTTGTGCCGACCTCGTGTTGTTTTTTCATTTTTCTTCCTTTTCAACTAAATCAAACATGCTCGGCCACAGTGATTTCAGTAATTTGCAAACAAATCATCATTCAACGAGCCGTACGACGAATTATGCGGGCTGTTAAGTCGCAGACCACCTCATCTTCAAGTGAGGAACTCGACAAGGAACGGGAATACGTTATTGGCGTCATCTATGGCCTGGGGATTGCCCTCAATGAGTATTTCACTGTCCAGAACTTGTGCAAAGAATATGAGTAAGTCTTTCCTTTCAGTACGTTAACAAGCGGGCAGTGGCTCAAATTAACAAAGTTTTGGGGCAGTGGTCTACATTGTTAAGGACTGTTTAAAGGCATTGGGTCGGCAGAATGAGACTTATGGCAAAACAAGGTCACGGGGTAGGACCTCCATAGTGGAACCTATGGGCCAAAGTTCGATCTTTCTCTGCCACTTCTAACCCCCGAAACTTCAAAGCGAAAGCAGCGCTCATCTCCTCTCCTCTCCGACCCCGCCCACCCCACGGACGAGTGAACGCGAAGCCCGTCGTGGCGAAGACGCAGAGTCGTTGCGGGACCTCATGCTTATAGCATTGCGCCTGGCGCTCTGACCGTGGAAGTCACTCGTCCATGGGGTGGGCTGGTTCGGAGAGGACAGGAGATGAGCGCTGCTTTCGCTTTGAAATTTGAGGTTAGAAGTGGCAAAGAAAGATCGAACTTTGGCCCATAGGTTCCATTATGGGGGCTCCTACCCTGTGACCTTGTTTCGCCACGGGTCTCATTTTGCCGATCCACTGTCTTTAACCAAGCTATAGGCCAAGCTACAACTCTTATAATATACTCGTGACATATAGGTAAATTAAGAACTCTCAAGGTACGCTCTCTAGCGCTCTTAAATACGGTAGAGAGTGTGACATGAGCTAGAGTTGAGTCAAAATGTCTGGAGGGCGTGCAGGAGTTCCTAACACCTTTCCTCGCACCAACTTCGCACCAGTATTCGCACCCAGGAGGGTTCTAGCACCTCCGCGCCTCAGAGGTCAGGCCCCGCCCATTGCTCCACCCATTTACTGGTCTCATTGCGAGGCGTGCAAGCAGCGAGAACATAGATCCAGGTAGTAAGGTAATAAGAAAGAAAAGTGGAGGAAAAACGGAACATAGTTATCGTGTCTCAAGTGAGGCGGCTTGGAAACTTCTTCTATGCCATCCTTTCAAAAAAAGCACATTATTTTCAAAAAAGAAAAATCGCATCCTTTAAATAGAAAACCGGTCATTTGAGATATTAGAGGATCTAGTCGATTAATTTTATATGGTCATTTGACTGAAGTGATTTAGCATCAGGAGTTTGAGAACCCAATTACCTTCTCCACATTAGAAGGACCTATTTTGAAAGGAAAAATCAAAGTTTCCGAAGAAGCAACTTAACGCTTTCTGCAACAGTTAGGATGTCGAAACATACTTTTCTATCGTCTGCCATAATATATTTGAATGAGTTTTTCATTCCAACCACTCTAAAGGTCGATAAGATCCAAATTATCAAAAAGAAATTTTCAATTGTAATATTTCCAACAATCGATGTACTAGAATACCGAACTTCGTCGCATGATCGGAGAATTGGCTCTTGCGTAGACTTGACTTACTTCCCTGTTATGTACCGTGACTTGAAGACTCATAACTTCTCTTTTTATATCAATACGATATGCTTCACTAACTTACTCAAGCGCGAGCGCAAATAATTTCTAGGGAAGCCTGATCTCACACAAAAACATGAGGATAACTTATAGGGGCCTGCAGGATCGCGAGAGTCGGACGTGCGTACGGCCATTGCGCCGCGCACGTCGTATGTCACTGGGTCGTACTCGATTTAGGCTGGATAGGTGAGATTTTTTTGTTTTTCTTCTCATTTCTCGCCTTCTTTTCTTTTCAGGCGGCGAACATATGTTGGTGCAGAGGAGTTTAAGATCTAGATTAAGGTGAGATGCAGGATTATGCTCAATACGGGCCAATATTGTGGACTTTTCACCCCTGCTTTGAAGAATGTTGAGTTTTCTGTTCTGGCTGTCCGATTATGTTCGATTTTTCGTCCTGCCTGCCCGGTTACGAAACTCCGTTTTATTTGCAACGTCTGTTCTACCTCATCTTGCATCATGCGCGTCATCACAATCATAATCATTGTCATCATCATCATCATCATCACAAGCAATATGCAAGATAAGGTAGAATAGACGGTAGAAATAGAACAGTTTGCTGTAACAGGGCAGCCAGGACAGAAAATCCAACATCTCAACCAGCAGGCATGGAACGTCTGCAATATTGAGTCCGTATTGAGCATAATCCTGCACCTCACCTTAATTCAGATCTTAAACTCCTCCGCACCAACATGTGCTCATCGTCTGAAAAGAAAAGAAGGTGTGAAATGTAAAGAAAAACAAAAAACTTACCTATCTAGCCTTAATCGACTACGACCCAGCGATATCAGGCGTGCGCGGCGCAAAGGCCGTACGCGCGTCCGACTCTCGCGATCCTGCAGGCCCCTATAGCTCGAAAAGCTGGATATTCAGCTGCAGTCATTTACGGATTATAAACTTTTACAGAAACCTATCAAAGTTTTTGTTTCTCGATTTCAGTTCTATTATCCTCGTAAACAATGAGCACGTCTTACAGTGAGTGTACACAACTCAGAATGAGGGCATCAAGAAGTAAGAGTGATGGCGGAGCCGCCCTTTGGCCCCGAGAAGGTGTGATGTCCTTCAAGGGATTTCTGGAGGTGCAAGTACCCCTGCGAGGAAAAGCGGCTAGGCTTTGGGAACTCCTGCCACGCCGCCAAAATGTCTCGGTCACGATTGAAATGTGAGCTGCCGTTCAGAGGATGGCTCAGGGGTCACAATCACTTTCCACGGAACTATATGTATCGTCGATTCGTTGACTGTACGGACTGGGGATAACCGCGGAGCTGCCGTTAGGTGAAACGCTCGCTCCAATACAAACTCGCCATTTAAAGTGGTGCTTTCGCAACATTTTAACCGCGCCGCGCGTGGTCCGCAGCGGTTGAGCAGTCCGTACGGCCAACGAATCGACGATAAATAAAGTACTATATGTGCTTGAAGTGCCGTTTAGATTACGCTCTGCGGCTTTGCAGATGAGATTTATTGAGACTCTTCAAGGGGAAAATCGGAGAGAAATGGAGGAGAGTTAAGCGATTAGATTTGGAAATCAGTCAGTCTGGGATTTTCTCTGCTTGAAATTAAGAAAGGACAAGCTCAAGCTTGTTTAGACCATATCTGCGAACTTTTCATCTCCCAGTCTCACGGTAGATTTACCATTTGAGAACTGATCATCATGAGTCTTCCCGAGGCCATGAACACGAGGCGAGCAACCAGTTCCTCCTTCATAACTAGCCACACGGCTGGTGATTTCTCAGATTTGGAAGTGTATCTGCATGTGAGCATGGGAAAGTGCAGGCTATTTCCACTTATTTCAAAATTCAGTAACTCATAAATGTGTTTGAATAATTTTCAGAGCAAATAATAGGTTTCGGCCTTCCTATGCGTTGTAGAACGGTTTTTGTCGATTGAGTCTTTGTACTTGTATGCGATCTTTTCGCTTTTTAGCTTATTACATTCGATTCCGCTCGTGACAAAAGCGAAGCAATTGGGGTATAACTCAGTTGACCAATTGCTTATGAGCTCCGGCTATTTTCAAGCAGCAATTCTGAAATCCCAAAAACACTATCGAGCGGAGTAAGTTGAAATTTAAAATTAATAATTTTTGCATACGATATCAGTGATTTCAGTCCCCAACGGGGCAGTAAAGCTACTCAGGATATTTCTTCTCTGATTAAAAGGCAAACAAAGAAGAAGAAAGCGAAAGCGCCCAAAGTTGATACTCCGACGAGACAATATTTCACTAGAGTCAATCCTAGGTCTCACTCTTTCCATGGTCGACCAAGTGTAAGTATTAATACTCAAATTGAATGCTCTATATGCAGTGGTCTAACTCCTTTTGCAGGCTTTCGGAGCCGGACTCATCCATAATCAAAAGACTATTCTTCCAAGAGCCCCACAAGTGAGATTCCATCTATATTCATTTGTTTTCCGAGTATCTAATTTCTGAAGTGAATTTCGATTGGTAATTATCAAAAGAGGACGTATCAGCAACATTTCGCCTTCGAATTCCGTCAAACATATGAAAGGTACTTCAGAGAATGCTGCAACATGTGTCCGTGGAGCAGTGTAGTAGTACCACCTCATCCTCGGTGATCTCAAATGTTCCTGTACCGCATAAAGTACCCGTACAAAAGCTTCACTACAAATTCGGCAAACCGCCAAGTACTCCTCAGAAGCTTTTAAATCCGGTATATGGCTCATGACATTAGATCTTCCTATCGCAGTGTCCATGTCATACATGTCTCACGAACTGAACTTCAGCTCATGATCAAGAGTTAGATCATTTTTAGGCAATTGGTGCGGAGCGGTTCGTTGCTGCACTCCGCAAATGCGGTGGGTCGGCAACAGAAGAGCAGCTCGAAAAGGCTTACAGGAGTCTGTACCAAACAGATTTGAACGACCGAGAGCTTTCTAGATGCTTTAACCTACTTTCAATCAGGGAAATAGTCAACACTTATCTGCAAGATCTCGTAAGTGTTCACTGTCTTGCGTAAACTGTCGGCATATAGTTCCAAGCCTGTCTGTACTTTCTGTACTCTTCTGTTATCAGAAGGAGCGAGTGGCGTAGTGGTATGAGGCGCTGCTAACCAGGTTGGACCCAAATTCGATCCCGCTCCTGGGCTAACCAAGCCGTCTACCTCCGGGGCTGGTGAATTGGTACCAGGGTGATCTGAGAGGATAAAAGCATTGACATGATAAACGGCTGGCCCCGGAAGTCACTGTAATAGGCCCACACGCATTCATTAGCCTCTTCACCATGCCGAGTGCGTTCGGCGCATGCCCGCAGAGGGTATAGAACGCCGAATCCTTTACCCTTTACCTGTCATCAGAGAGGTGCGAAGTTATGATAGATGACGATTTCAGTGGGTATTTCCGTTTTTCTTGTAAATGGCAAAGCACATCTCGAGCGATCCGAGCAGCGATTTGGCTGTGTTCTAACGTATGCTTAAAGGCATGTCTCACCAAATTGAGGCCGCGCGGATTTTCACATATTCTATTATGGGCCTCTAAATAGGCCATTGCAACAAGTCCCACTCAATTTGACGTCCTCCACGCTGAAAATTCGCTTGTGGTACACGGAGAGAGATTTGGTACGCGCAGACGACTCCTTCGGTCTCCATACGCATTTGAACATGTGCCTCCTCTTGGCATTCAATTCCCCTCTGTTGCTGCCACTGTGGCTGAGGCTGAAGTTGGAAGGTACGACTCGTCGACTTTGCTTCCGCGAGGCCTCCAGAAAACGGGGTTTTTGGGAACTTCGTGCGATTTTAAGCCCATACAGTGCTAGGCAAGGCCCGACAGGCATGCAAAATGCAAAAATCTCGGCAACTAAATTTTGGTGAGACACTGCCTTTAAGGCTAGGGCACGTTGCTGGTATGGGGCATGAATAGTTTTACGTACTTTTTTAAAATGAGACAACAATTCGTATGGTTGTGCTTACGCACATGGTTTAGGTCGAAATCACGTTTGTGAGGGGACACGGCACACGCCGCTACAAGCTGAGAGCCGAATCAGAATCTCCGTCAATCTCACCCTTACCTACGATGTGCGAGTTCTTTAATCGCCTGATTGAAATAATGCTAGATAGCGAGCCGAATCTGGTCAACGTATGCCCTTCTCGGTCGAAGTCTTTGTCCTCCTTTGTATCATCGTTTTAGTTGAGCGCCATAGCGAAGCTGTATGAGCAGAAGTATGACGTAGAATTCACCTCTGAATATCGTTTGATACAGGAGCAAGTGTTGACAAGGTCTCGTAAAACGATATACATCGACAGCAGTGGGGTATGAATGTCTGTTATATGGTTTAGGTAAAAAAAATATTCCATTTTTCAGTACTTACATTTGAACCACGAAGATGTCGATGTAAAACGTATGTTGACGGAGAGACTCGTTCAAGCGTCATTGGATGCTGGCATTGATAGTGGTCAGTGCTGCATCATTCATAAGGATACTAGGGAAAGCTTGTAAGGGCGAAAAAAATTGAAACTAACGAGGAAAGTTCACTTAGTCGAAGTGGCAAATCGGAAGGAGATCTATAACAGTACAGCTTAAAAAGCTGATTTTAGATTTACCTTCTATATCTGCGATGCGTTGTTCTAAAAAAAGTTATGAGCTTTTCTAAAGCCAAATTTTCGTGCATTTTGAGTCGCAGAATCATGATAATCGCTACACAAAAGTGTGCAAGGAGCAAACCACCTAGTAAGCATCAAGTTTAATTCGAGTTCATTCGAACGTTTTCGAGTGTTTTCCGACCATGTTGTTTATCTATAAATCTTCATTTCTTTCCTAGATCACATTTCCATTATATACACAAAAAAGCTCATAACCTCCATCTAGAACAATGCGTCGCAGATATTAAAGATATATTTGAGAACATCGTTTCACATTCTATTCATTGGTATTCAAAAAGTTTCCGACGCGACGCGTTTTTCTGAATGGAGGTTTTGGGGCTTTTTTGTATACATAATGAGAGTGTGATCTAGGATGAAATGACGACCTGTGGATGAACAATATGGTCGAAGAACATTCGAAAGCGTTTGGATGAATTCGAATTAGAACTACAAGCTTACTAGGTGGTTCGCTCAAGCTTGCACACTTTTGTGTAGCGATTATCATGATTTTGCGACTCAAAATGCACGAAAATTTGGCTTTAGGAAAGCTTATAACTTTTTTGAGAACAACGCTTCGCAGATATAGAAGGTATATCTGAGATCAGCTTTTTAAGCTCTATCCACTATCTTAGATTTCCTTCCGAATCGCCACTTCGACTAGGTGAACTTCCCTTGTAAGTCATTGTCTTTCAGATCCATTTGAGTCTCCGACATCATCGTCAAGTGATCGTTACATGGGAAACCCTGAGGCATTGGTAAGGCTGAGCTACTTCTTCCACACTACGCGGCGATTGCGTTTGCCGGCACGATTCTGGCAACACTGCCGCAGACAGCTGAGTCACATATCTGGCGACGCACTCGTGGCGTAGTCTAAAGAAATCCTTGATCTTTTTCTCCGTAACATGTGTCATCTTTTATTCCATTCCTGTCTTTTCTAAATTTTAGAGTCACATCAAAACTTTCCTTTTACGATAGTTATAATTTAGGCTGCTGATTCCACTTATGGCGATGCGACAGGTAGTGCACGAGTTCCTTTAATTTTGGTGATCTATGATCTTCGTCGTTTTAGTATACGTAGGAAACGGGGATCAAATCCGGCGGGATATCCGAAGAATAAAAGACGAACCTCACGAACAGACTTTTGACCGTAATTTGAGAGTTGGTGGCTTCTCCTTCCTAGTTTTTCAGTTCTTCCTCATGAATTCTGGATCAATTTTTTCAGTTCAATCGATCTTACCATGGGCGCACTAGAATTGACAAAGAGGACCTGAGAGGTGCTAAACTGCACGAGGAACTCGTGAGTTTCTTTATCCCTATACTCATTTGATTTTGAGGCTCAATCTTTATGATTTCTTTCGATAATCGTCTACTATTAGTCTGTTGAGATCCTACCGAGAGAAGGGTGATGTATAATCTGGCTGGTTTTCTGTCAGCCAGCTGGCGCTTGTATGTGCCACCCTTATCCACTTGGCAATTCTGTTCGACTGAAATTCTCACAAGGGAACGATATTCAATGTCCGTGGCCCTTTGAGACGAGATATATACCATTACACTCATCTTCGAACGCTGATTCCGAATCTGACTTCCGTTTCTGCTAATCGTTTCTCTGAAAAAAGTTATGGAGGAATTTCGAGCCAACTTTGGCCGCCTAAGGGTATGGTCACCAAAACGGCCTCTACCGGCGCCACGTTATTGTCTAGTGGTTAGTGTGATAGCCTCATAACTTGATGCAGGTGTAGATTCATCCTTTTGTGTTGTTATTTTGCACTGCCCCAATTAAACTTGTTCGAAATTTACCCAATTATGATCATTGGATACATTTTAGCTCAAATAATAGTCATTTTTTCCAAATTTCCACATTTTTTGAAGAGTAAGGGCGTTCGGTTAGCCCGAAGATGCGAAAGAAGGTTTACTGTGGCAATGCAAAACTGAAAAACGCAAGGAGATTTGAACCTACACCTGCATCAACTTTTGAGCCTATCGCACTAACCGCTAGACCACACCACACAGTTACTGCTGGCGCTCCAAACATATCTCAGTGGGCAGCCAAAGCCCGCACAATCCTTTATGACATCTTTGAATTGATTAGCAGAAACGGAAGTCAGATTCGGAATGAACGTCCCAAGACGAGTGTCATGGTATATAACTCATCTCAAAAGGCCACGGACACCGAGTATCGTTTCCTTGTCAGATAGAAACCGCAAAACCCAACGTATGGCTTTTTGTTGCATTCAACGATCGCTATAGTTTGTCAGGTGTGGATACTTGCGTACCGCAGCAACAAAATCGCAAGGAGCCGGCAGACCCAGTGAACCCTCGTAGCTGACTGTAACCACCCTAAGTGTAGATCAGCTGCCGCGGCAGTAATGTGAAACAAACACGTTGACAGACGGTTGCAGCAGCCATTTATACAAGTTGATTGTTCAAAACTTTATGAGGAACTGTGTCGCAACCTTTCTTGTGTTCTGTAGTGTTTGAATCATTGGTAAATCGCGCGATTTTTGCCGGTCATTGTAGATACGATCGTTCAAGATTCCGTGTTACAAAGAATTGACACCCACTGGTGAATACCGTAAGCGGTTCGAACCTCCCTAACTCGTAACGGTATATGAATCCCTTATCAAAATTATGCAACCTTCTTTTCTTTCCCGAGTCGTTCTTCATGCGCTGTTTATAGTCTGCCTTACGCATCACGATACCTGGAAGCTCTCAGTCAACTAGCAGAGAAGTGAGAGAGGAACGCTCATCCTATCCTATGGAAAACTCCACATCTGCGCCAGGGAGAGAAAAAAGTAGTTCACTTCCTGAACGTCCTCCATCTTCAATCTCCACGGTGGTAGGCTATCGCTGTATAGTCGAGCAATGAGCGACTAACATCTATCGTTTCAGTCAACCAGCTCAGGGAGCCATAGGCGATTGGGAGAAAAGTTCGCATCCATAGGGAAGTTTTTCCAGAAAGAAGTCATCAAGGAGGATTCTGAGGTTGTTACCGTTCACTCTGACTAGAAACTCCCTAGTCTTTTTAACAACTTTCTGGATACAGTGAGAAACAAATCGAATTTTGTTGTGTGGTTGACTCATCCGTGACATGAAAAGAGTATGGTGGTGGAAGAAGCGCGCATAGGCAGTGTTCGGGCAATGTTGGGTCTCTGTGATTTCAATGTATGCGAGAGTATACGTTCCAGTGCTTGGACAAAGCGGGAGGGGGAAATTGGACCGCAAGTTGGGATATCTAAAATTCAACATTGACGCAATCGCAATCCTAGAGTCTACACAATCTCGCGTTGCTTGCGAACCCGGCGCGTGCCAGCTCACGTTTAAATAACGGCTACGCGTGCGTTCTTGACATTTTCGTATTCTTCAGAGTGGCTTACAAGATCAGCGCAAGAGACTAGCAACAAGAGCGGGAGTGAAGGTTTTGCTCGAATACTGCCTTTATGATTAAAACGTGTCTAGTAAACCAATCTTGGTCTAGGGCGCATCGTCTTCTGCTAGTACTGTGACGCCCAGATCTCGAGCTCCAGCAAATCCACCGAAAAATGAGAAAGTTTCTGGTGAGTAATCGCAGTTCAACCCCTTTGCGAATAAAATTTTTACCACAGATCAGTTCTAAACAAACCTAATGACCTTCCGTATTCCACTTCCTTTCTTATGCATATTTTTTTTGCTTCTCATTATCAACAATTTTTTTTCGGAATAAAAAGTAGATCTAAAAATCACGGGAAGGATGTTGCAAATCAGTAAAGATTGTGTTTGACGAAATGTTAAAGGCAGTGGATCGGCAAGATCCAACAACTCGGGAATCAACGCGGTAGGTTCCTTATCGCCCAACTATGAATAAGTGCAATCCCGGTTGCACAGCATGCTTTCCCTGCCGAGAAAATTGCTCTCGAACTTACACGCGCAGGTCAATCTTACACGCATCTGGACGAGTTAGCAATTTCCTTCTCATCATTGGAGGCTGCCCGCCGCAACGCTATAACCCGGGATCAGCGTATTGAAAACCCCAGGTAAGCGCAAATTTGACTAGGTTGAGATTTGTTGAGCCACTGCCTTTAAGCAATGAGTTCGCTTGTAAATGAACGAGCAACTGAATTGCTCTCCTCCTGTTTCTTACAGTATCTCCGTTGACCGCTTTAACGATATTCTGTGTGGTAGTTGCACACCTATATTGCACCTGCTGAAATTAGCAGGATGCGCTACAGAGTGGACTGAAAGTTTCTTTTGATAATTGCGAAAACGCCGTGCTTAGGGGACAGTCTTTCTATCATCTGCTTTGTTGAGCCATATTTCGACTTACAAAATCCCGTCATTTCACTTACAGACAAGGAGAACACTCCCGTGACGAGGGAAGTAGACGTAGAGTGTTCCCATCCCTACTACAATGTCCACGTGATGTCATCGAGAGGAGACGCTCGGTCACTTGCCGCTCAAAAAGGGTGAACTCAATCTCTTATGCTTTGTGGAAGACTATTTGTCGTTTTTCTTGGGCATACTGTTTTGCTTATGCGCGTTGCAGAATTGTGTTTGTCATAATGGCTTTAGCGGCGATAATAGCTGCGCGTATGGCACGTTACTTGATCCGCTACTTGATCCACTTGACTCACTTCGCTATTGGTCGCTCGCTGATTTGGCCTATAGAGTACATCAAGCGGGCAAGAGGATCAAGTATGGCGTGTGCCTATTTGTTTTGTCAGGCGGGCAACGTGTGAAATGAGTAAATATACTTAGTATTTCTGCCCTTCAAGAATGTAAATCCTCATCCTTTTGAACCTGTGACATGTTTACCAGGCGATCGTTTACTAAGTAGTGCAAAAAGAGGGGGGGGGGGAAGTGGTTTGAATAAGGTGAGGTCTATCGGGCACTATTTGCGCTACCTAAGACGTACGCCACACTTGATCCACTTGCTCAGCTTGATCCACTTCATCCACTTCGCCGGGCTAAATCGGTGAATTGACCAGCAGCGAAGTGGATAAGGGGATCAAGTGGACATCCTTCGCTATATCACATCAGTTATGTAGCCAGTAGCGAAATGGATCAATCAGGTAGATTAGGCGGTACAAGTATAGTCGTCCTCACCCCTCTAGTCGGTCGGTGGTCGAATTTGAATTTGAACTGGAGCAGGCCGGCCGCGGCAGAGCGCGGAAGACCGCCCCTCAGCCAACCGCTTGCACGAGTTTTTTCCTTATTTTCTTCGCGTTTTTTTGCTATCTCTCGTACTACGGCAATGTTCTTAATTGGATTTTCAGATTTCTTACCGCTAACTCTTTGAAACAAACATTTTTTGAGAGGATTTCAGCCCTATCACAAAAGTTCAGAGTACACCCTAATGAAAAACTAGACACTATCATCAATCTCATCAAATCACATTTGTGTCTATTTCACCTACCGGAAAAGATATTTCTCAACCAGAAATCTGTAATCGAGTCCTTCTTCCCGGTTTACCTAAAAAATGTAAAACAAACGAGCACAACTGCACAAAACAATAGTTAGCGGTACGAAATCTGAAAATCTGATCAAGAACATTGCCGCAATACGAGAGATAGCAATGAAACACGGATAAATCAAGAGGAAAGCTTATGTGCAAGTTGTTGGCTGCCGCGCTCTGTCGCGGGCGGCCTGCTCCAGTTCAAATTCAAATTCGACCACCGACCGACTAGTGGGGTGAGGACGACTATATGTATGGCGCGTGGCCAAGTTCAAAATTTGGATTGTGCTGTTATGGAAGGCAGGCTCTATCAGAGAAAAAGCTTGTCGCCGATGCCTGTGGTATGGGTATATGTCAAGAATAACGATAGCTGGCAATAGTGGCACCAAGAGTGCCCGCATGTCAATAAATGGTGCACAGGTAGCTCCGCCCCAGCAGACGAGCTCACGCAGGCTCTACATTTTGGAGCAGTGAATGCCCAAAGCTTAATTTTTCAAAATTTGCTCTATGTTAAGGCTTCTGCTATTTTTTGAAGATCGCCTTAAGCACACGATAGAAATGTCGGCGACATTCCACTTAATACAACCCAAAAATTGAAAATCGTGCATTCCGCTGAAAACCGCCCAAGGGGGTTATTCGACCTGCTATTACGAAAATGATAATCCGTGATTATCAATTTTTGGGTTGTATTAAGTAGAATAGTACCGAAATGTCTTGGGCTCAATTCAGCATGTGAAATATAAGCTTCGTTGGTCATTGTAGGAAACGAATTCTTCTGAAAAGAAATGAGATTTGAATCATTTTTCTCATATCATGAATGAGGGCGGGTTGTTCTGCGCGCGCAACAGCTGGCAGCTAGCGGCTGCCAGAGCTACCGTTATTCTTGACCGCCACCCCTGTGGTATCGTCCTTTCACCACGTTGTAGCGGACACGCAGCCTCAGACGCTCTCCCGCGAAGCTGTTTTGACCGCGGCGCAGGTTGATACGGCTGATCAGCTGTCCATCCGTCCGCTGCCACGGGAATAGGTGAGTTTTTGATAATTTCATTATCTTTTTGCTTGAAGGTTGCAACAAAAGGTTGGAAGGTGAGTCGAGAAAGTCTGTTAACTTTATATATAAGTGAATTGTTCGCAGAAAAAGCTGACTATCCAATCTAAGCGCAATGTCAGCCAGTTTTTGAAATTTTTGTTCTTGTAATCAAGATATCACTCATAAATAAACTTGAAGACTTTTTCAACTTATCTTCCATCCTTTTGTTGCAACCTGCAAACAAAAAGATAATGAAATTATCAAAAACTCATCAATTCCTGTGGCAGCGGGCGGATGAACAGCTGATCAACAGTATCGACCTTGCGCCGCGGTCAAAACCGCTTCGCGGGAGAGCGTCTGAGGCTGCGTGCCCGCTGCAACGTGGTGAAAGAACGATATAACTTGCAGATATGATTCTGTGCAGCGACGCAAATCTCAATGCATTGAGTTTTTGAGTCGATAGGCGTACATTCGACAAACATAAGATCTAATTTTTGATAAATTATGTAAAAATCAAGGAGTTTTCAAGACCAAACCAAAAAAAAAACTAATAATCCTCCGTTTTCTGGTAAATCTAAATGGAAAGGCGATTGTTTCTTTTTCTAGACAAAGAATTTGAAAATCCTACCGGATGACGAGTTTGGTTTTTATAGCTTTTGGTTGTATTTTCCGTTGCTCAGGAATCTCTAACTTTAACTGAGATCGCCGCAGCCATAGTAACTTCGCTACTTGTCGCACTCTTCGCAGGCTACGCAAGCAAAGGCGGCAACTGGCTCCATAACGTCACCCGCGCCTGTCGTAATCAGCAACCTTCCAACGATTACGAAACAGGTGTTTTTAAAAAATTTGCATGTCAACGCATCACGCATGTGCATGTATTTTCGTTCTGAATCTCATTACTGAAGTTTTAGCTAATGAAAAAAATTTTGATTTTAGGCTCACCATCAAACGCTAACTCATGTGCAACATTTCGATGGTGGCGGAGTATAGTCACAGTGGGCATCATCATCTTTGTTGGAAGTCTTAGTTACATTGTCAATCTTTTCCTGTGTTTGTTGGAAGCTGCTCTTTTTGATTCTGACTAGTTCGGATTCTTTCGATAATATTGACTGGAGGCAGACTCCACCCAGTGTTTGTGTTTTCTATATGTTTTTTAGTCTATAAACATTCCCTAGTGTGGCATCTGCGTGGTCTGGTCCAACTTGTTAATGTGTTTCAAAAAGGGGAAATGGACATGCACACGCGAGGCTAGAGTCGTCTAGGCCACCAGAACCGGGCAATTAGTTTCTGTAAATATCGAGGAACCTGGGTGGACCTGCATTCAGATCACCATTACTTGGAGAAAGCCCGCTGCTGGCGACTGTCAGTTGCAAAACCCCCGGATTGTTGAAGAAGATTCTGCAATAAATGAAAAGAGTGACCTCCCATGTCGAGTATCTTAGAAGATGCCTTACAAAAGCTCACAGGTTCTCCATTTACCAATCAGTAACAATCCTAAGTGGTATAGTCTGCCTTACATGTTCTTCCTTTGGGCGTCCCACGCAGTGCAGCCCATTCCCTGCCTTTGACGCGTTGGCATGCGATGTCCGTGTCAACGATGGATCCCTTTTCATCAGCTCAAGCGCAACGCCAGAGCTGCCGTGGGAGCGCTGTAGCGTTCATAACAACCGAATCAGTCAGGGAACACTGCGCAATACCCACGCCTGCGGATGCCTAGTTGCTACGGAGGGCACGTGGCTGACACTGACTGTAGGCAACAAAGATGCGCAAAGGCAGCGCAAAGGCGCTAAAAGCGCAGAAGCGGTGACGCCTAAGGAAAGAACCATAACAGACCTTGCATGCGGTACGACGTAATTGGCAGTCGCAGTAGTGGTCATTGTGTATGACTATCCTAGATACGATTTGAAATTTTCACGTGGCATTCAAGCGTATTTCTTTATGTTCTAGTGTATGCCCTAGAAGGATCCAAATGGTGTATATTTTTTCCTTCTCAATTCCGTTCCATGAATTTGCATATCTATGATTCTTATGGGAATAAATTTGAAAGTGATCTGAAGACATGAAGTATTGGCAACATCCCATTTTTCCCTTGTTTGTTTGGCAGACTCGAATTTGTCGGCCTCAGTCTATAGCGGTATATCCTATTCTTACGTGTACTCTACTCGTGCATGGTAGGCATTTGGCACTTCATTCCACTCTGACCCAGCTTGTCTCATTAACGAATATTGAGCTGCGGCCTATACGCAACGCGTGGCACCTGTGCTCTTCATGCGCATGTGTAACCACCAACGCTTATACGCACATAATCAAAGCTTTTCCCTATACAAAGTTTAGGGAAAGGCTTTGACTAGCCTGTAGTCTGTATCTCGAAGCACTTCCCAAGACTTCGCCACCACACAGTTGTTCGCAAATTTGCCTTGGCTTTGGCTCCTCTTTTCTGGAAACAGGCAAAGAGCATGGGCTAGTATGTGGAACAGGTAGGTGAGTGGTAGCAGAGCAGCAAAATGGTTTGTTACCAACGCATCTGAGGAAGCGAGTAAACAGCGTTGCAGTGGCTTCTATGGGAGGAACTCTGCGACATTGATCATAGTCACACGCGTTGTAGATTTGATGGTAAGCGTAGCGACTGCCGGGAACATTTGCGCGTAAAATGACCGCCAATCCTGTATTTTAAGGTTTGCAGACCCTTAGGTATCATCGGTTTCCAGATTCGTGTGGAGGTGGAGTTTTGCAACTCACAGCGTGGCGGCTTTTGCTAGCGAGGGAGTACGAAAAGCAGTGCTATAACCAGGGTTGAGCGTGGGGTCAGGCGCGCCCGACCTGGGGGGTCGTACTGGGGTAAGACAGAGGGGGGGGGGGTCGTGATTAGGAATCGAATTCGTTCGATTGAGGAGATACTACGATTAAGGTGAAGAAGAAAAGCGCTAGTTTAGTGGATATCGCGACCTCACCAGTACTGAAGGAAAGAACGGTTTTAAACAGCATACTGTTGATTCCACAATCGAAGTTTCCGCCAAAACTCAAATCTTCATCTTCTACCTTGAGATATTATAAATCATCAAGGAAGCTTGCGTGAAATGGGTATCATTTCCGAGCACGTCAAATTACTTCTATGAGCCCTACAAACCATTATTCACTGCATTATCTAGTGTTTCTCAACGACTAAAAAGCGTGATTTTCAAACATGATTAACTTGTTTTCAAAAGTGAAAAAGTCAATTTTTTGTACTCGTAACAAAGTATTGTTCCCTACTAGTCTAGGCTAAAAATCGCGCTTTGTATCGCTTGCAAATAGTGGAGTAAGAAATAATGCCAAAATTCCGACCGGCGCGTTTTTCTCCATGACTGCTTCAACTCCACGGACTACCACAAGGCCGAAACAAGTCGAATCAAGTCCAAACACTTACTGTGGAATCTTCGAGGGTTGTGCTAGCGATTCACATAAAACTTGAATAAAAAAGCCTCTTTAATGATAAAGTTAATCGGGTCAGGCGCAACCCCATAAAAGGTCAGGCCGCCTGAGATTTTAAGGGGTTGCGCCTGACCCGATTAACTTGTTTTCAAAATCTGAAAATCGCTCCATTTCTGCTATGAGTATTGAACTCAAAGCCTCTTCTTGCAATACTGCAAATTTGGAGCCAAACAATACACCCCTGTGGGAATTATAGCTCTAAAAGTAGGGCTATCCAAAATCCAAAACTTGCCGTCAAGTTGCGTGTGCTGTGCAATCGCAAAAAGTCGACCTACAGACCTCCAAAAAACAAGAACCTCCCAAAAACGGCTGATCTCTTCGAATTATCACAGCCTGAGCTCCTGGAGGTGAAGCAGAGGGGTCGTTTAGGGGCTTTCACTGGGGGGGGGGTCGTTTTGGAAAGACTTGTGCCTGACCTCTTGCTCAACCCTGGCTATAACGTGGAGATTTAACAACTTTACCTGTGTTATCAGGCAAAGTCTGCAATACACCTCCACACGAATTGGGACCCGATCGTATATATCACGTCAGCTCGCTCCCTTTCGCTCCTTTCAACATGTCGACTTCAGCTAATTCAAGGCATTTTCTTAAAATGTAAGTGTCAAAGCGATCGAAAGGCATCGAACTGACGTGATATAGTACCCTATTTTCAGCTGTTTAAGGCGCACCATTTTTGCTCTAAGCGCGAGCAGACCCAGGCGTGCCGCCGCGCATATGTCTCGCGAAGCGGTCGGGATCGGCCATACTATTCCTGCTATTCCTACGACTCCTGCGATTCTTGCGATTTCTGAGTCCCGCACAGTTTAGACGCCGCTTAAATGAGCGCGTGTTGCGTAAAACAACACGTAACACGCAACACGCGCTCATTTAAGCGGCGTCTAAACTGTGCGGGACTCACAGGAATCGCAGGAGTCGTAGAAATAGCAGGAATAGTATGGCCGATCCCGTCGCCTTATCGCATACTGCTCTCACTTTACGCGCTATGATGACAGTCAGTCTTTTGGCGTGTTCGCCTTTAGAGCGAAAAGGGTGCAGCTTATACACCGGAAAATAGGGTACCTATGGAAACATTTGTGGGGGACAACTTATAAGTGCTTGCAATGCAAAGGGCAGCATGTAGTTTTCGACCAGTATGCACTAACGTCACTGCGGCTAGGGGAGCGGTGTCCCCAATTGTGAAAAACCCGCAGCGGCGTCCTCACGCGGCCCCTTCATTACGGGGGACGCCGCTCCCCTTACCGCGGGGTGGGGGGGGGGGGAACGGTCAGGAGGTGCGATCCGCGCGAATTTTTCGCGAAGCGACGCCGCAACGTACTTCAGCCAATACAACAGCAGCGCCCCTGGCGCGATGTTAGTGCGTGCGTGCAGCCGCCGCGGAGATGTTAGTGCATACGGGCCTTCGTATTTAATCAGATGGGGGGGGGGGGGGACGATAAGCACCTTTTGAATACTTGCGGGCGTTAGGTATTGATGCGGTGCGACGTTACAGTAAACTGCGCGACGGAGGACGTGCTTCAAAAGGGCAGGAAGCTCGGTATCTAAGCAGAATTTTCTCGTATCCTTCACTGATCTTTTGATCACGGTAAATTCTTCAAAAAAAGCTTTAAAAACTTATTTGATGATCACATGGATTGTGTGTTGCCCCCTTACGGAATATTTTTACGAGTTCTGCGGCTGAATATTACATAAGAGTAAAACATGGGATAGTGTAAGACCTGAAAATCCAGCTAGGGTGCTCCGTTCCACATAGAATGCTATAGCAATAGCAGTTGTTTTACGGAAAGACGTTTTCAAAATTGTTTTCTACAAGGAAACCCTGCTGCTACCGCTTGCAGAAACGGTGTAGGGAAGGGATGGTGGGGGCCGGTACATTACTCGATACTCTGCATGTGTCGTCTTTGAAAAGTCATCGTAGATGTCTGAAGGGTTTAGGGAGTAACTTTTGATACCCTCTGTATCATTGGGAGTGATGGGTGCAGATGGGGTTTGCAGGCGGCTGCACGTCAGAAGGAGGTACACCGCGCACGGCGCGCGCTCACAAGGGAGGTCCGTTTAGTCAGAGTGGCCTTTTCATGTGACTACTTAACCGTTTGAAGAGCAATGAGAAGATGGCTGATCGACTTCACTATTGCAAATCGCTCCTAGACGCAGAGTTATGAGCGTTTCAGATACTGAAGAATCTATGCGCCGGTGTAGGACTTATTTGAAAAAGCTACTTCGAATGAACGGACCTCTCTGTCAGATATTATGTCCCACAAAACTCCACTATTGAAGTGGCATGTCGGGAAACTAGGGGGTGGGGATAGGGGAGATTCGTGACTCGATGCCATGCTATTGCAAAAGGAGAGCGGGATCATCACCTCGCTGACGTCGCTGGGTCATCGCTTCACAAATACGCGGTCTATGGGGGTTATTCGACCCGCTGATGCCAAAAATTAAATCTTATTTCCCGCGATAGCGCCATTTTCTGGGATACGGTAGGTATACGGTAGGGGGTTTAAATTCGTGGATTTCGCTGGAACTTAAATTAGGGAGACATGCTGTTTACAGATATCATCCCTTGAGTTTTGAAACCTTTTCACAGATTAACGGCATTATATGGTAGGTAAATTCATAGGCTTGCTGAAACTTTGGGCAGGGAGGTGATCTGAAGCTCTGAGGATATCGTGCTCATTTTGCATGAAATAGGCATTTCGTGACTTTTTGGGATCTGCATGGTATTCGTAATCCGCAGCTTGAAAAACCTACAGGTAAAGTATTGAGCAAATTTGGAACAGACCCTTACAGTACATCCATCGCGACCTAAGAAAATGGGGCCATCTTGCGAAAATATGATACTTATGTTCAGCGCGCCAATTGACCCCCCCCCTTTCCAGAAGAGTTTAGAGCAAATCCGTGGTTTCGATCGCACACGGTCTAACTATCGTAACTTCAAGAAAACGTCTCACCATAGGAAGAAATAATGGTATTTGTGATCTGTTAGTCGAATAACCTCTCTAGACCGAGTTTCAGCCAAATCTATGATCTTGATTTGCTACTACACCCACGTAATCACGCGAGGGGACGCTTTCGCGCGGAAAAAGTAAGATGGAGTTGGATTTTGAAGGACATTAAGCATTGAAACCCCAGTGACTTCACATTTTCAACCGCTTATAACTTTTTGCAGAGAACGGCATCGCAGTTATGAAAAGTAGGTTTGGAATAAGCTCATCAAGACGCATCTAATCATATGCGGATCATACCAATTCGCCACCTTAAGTTGGGATCGCTCCCTTGTCGGAAGTCAGTGAGGCGCACTCTCCGCAGGCTCGCAATCCTCTCAGAAGCCGGTTCGTAGGTTGAGTCCTCCTCGATGGACCAGTCACAACTTGATATGAGCTCCTCCAGCCTGTTACTGTCATAAACGACATTCTTCCTTCTGCGGCATTGTGTCAGACCTTCTTTTCTAGCTTTCGACTGAATCGTACCTTCGCTCGAAGGAGGCGGTGATCGGAGCCACTGCAGAATGATGGAACCAATGGGACATCGAACAAGCTCTACCTTTGGTTGGTGAGAATGTGGTCGATTTCCGCGTGAGTCATTCCGTTGGGCAATTGCCATGTCCACCGGCGATGTTCTTTCTTCATGAAGATGGAATTTCCATGGAAAAGTTGTGCGGCGGAGAGAAGCCCAACAAGACGGTTGCCGTTTTCGTTCCGGAGCCCATATCCGAATTTCCCGATCCTATATTCCTCTTATAATGGTATCCCGATCTTCGCGTTGAAGTCGCCCACAGCAAACTTGTAGAAGGACTTGTCGTTGCGGACGACCTGCTCCACATCTTCGTAGAAAGCATCTAGCTCTGAGTCGTCAGCTGCTGATGTTGGCGAGTAGCAGCTGATGATGCTGATGGTCTTTTGACGTGGAGGTCGTAGTCGTAGGATGGCTAGTTGAGGTGATAGGATCTCATGTGATGGACAAGATGGACGATAGATGGTGGACGACAAAGCCAACGCCTCCAACGTTTCGTGATGGAACCTTCTCACCACAATGATGAGTGTCCCATCACTCATCTGTCGCACGTCCTTCTTCTTGGACTTTGTTTCCTGCAGAGCGATAACGTGGTGTTTGATGTGCTCTGCAGCGTCGAGAAGAGCGTGGAGATCGGCGTTTGTGGAGACTGTCCTGGTGTTGTAGGTGCAGAGCATGAGGCAGTCTTCATGGCATGTCGTCCGGGCAGAAGTGTTGTTTTTGTCCGATCCAAAAGGCGCCCCGAGTACCCTGACATTGTTCTTGCTACCACCCGGCACCGTATGGGGGGATACGATGTACAGGGTTTTTTTTCTATATCTTCTTGCTGACTGAGTAATAAAATTTGTTCCCCTACAAGAACAGACTTACTAGGACTTATACGTGAATGAAGTAGAACGTATGGTGTGTACATACCTGGTCGCTGCCGGAGGGTTTTTCTCTCTGATCAAGCGCGCCGTCTTACCATTATGCCGCATCTGCTGATATGTATCTTATATTCTAAGAGACCGACCTCAAAATTCCAGGAGGTGGTTCCTGCAATTCCCGTAATTTCTGCAATTCTTGTGATTCCTCAACTTCCGATGTGCCGCAGTACGGAGTGCTTTGCGAATTTTAGTATACATTGTTTTTTTTCGCAATATGCATTGTTACAAGACCCCGGAATCCCAGTAATAGTATGGCCGGTCCCTAATACTAAACGGCTACTCCGATTGTGAGAAAAGGGCTATCCTGATGGAGTTATCAGACAGATATCGCCTTTTCTGATGATCTCAGTCGAGGAACAGTGCAGCGAAGACGGGTTTGGGCTAAGACGAACTAACAGCATAACGCAAATAGCAGCCGCAGCTGTACTGTATGTTGCGCTAGTGGGGTAGAAGACTGTATGTCACCGAATGTAGAGACTCGCCTTCTTGCAAAGACGCACCTTCATGCATGTGAAAGGGTGCATATTTGTTGCAGATGACCGCGAGGGCCGCCCATCTCGGCGACATATAAGTCCTCTACCCTGCTAGTGGTGCCATTGGCAACCGTTATCGGCAGTGCAGGAACAGTGCCAGATCCCTAAGTAGCAAAGTGGGGTAGTAGTATCTGGTTTGTAATGCATAGGAACCTTTGTACCTCTGCAGTAGGGGTGCAGATTTTGACACACGGCTGCGCCACAATTTTCAGCTGACAGCAAATGTTGCTATGCGCACCTCTAACAAGGGAAGGAAGGTTGATCGAAGTGGCCTTTCAAAATGGGACGTATACTGTCTTGTAGAGCTTGACATGCTAATTCTAAATCTACCTTTGCTATCTGCTGCAGGCCTCTGGACAAGGAGTTATGAAGGATGCGAAGTTAGTGTAAAATCAGTCGTAACATTTTTTGTAGGGCTTAACTGGTAATCAGGTCACTCGGTGCTACAAACATTCTTGATTCAAATGTACAAGAACTCGCTGCCGTCTCATTTGTACGTTAAGAAAAGATTACGACTGATTTTACACTAATCTTGCGTTCACATTTTTACGCACAAGAACCTTCATAACTCCTCGCCCAGAGGCCCGCAGCAGACAGCAAAGGTAGACTTGGAATTAGCGTTCCAGCTTCATAAGAAAGTGTACATTTCATCTCAAAAGGCCACTTCGACCAACCTTCCTTCCCTTGGAAGGCTTATAAAGCAGTCCAACGTTCTAACATCTAGTGAATGATTATGCGCTACATACAGACCTTATCGTTTCCCGCTTTTTTCATTGGTGCATTTTGTGATCCCTTGTCGCTTGATTTGTGCTGCAAACAGCGGTAGTTCGATGTTCTGTGTCGGCCTCGTGTTGTTTTTTCATTTCTTTCCTTTTCAGCTAAATCAAACATGCTCAACCTTGTGATTCTAGTAATTCGCATTCAATTCATTATTCAACGTGCCGCACGAACGATGCGTCCAGTAAAATCGAAGACTTTACTTTTAACTGAGGAACTCGTTAAAGAACGTCAACAACTTATTGGCGTCATCTATGGCCTGGGGATCGCTCTCGATGAGTATTTCACTGTTCAGAACTTGTGCAAGGAATACGAGTAAGTCGTTCCTTTCAGTACTCTAAATAGCGTGCAGTGGCTTAAAATTAACACGTTGACGACGAGCCATTTTTTGAAGGTCTGTCCCTGTGGACGAACCGCTTTCGGGCATTTTCACAGCCGGCTGCATATATGTATGCATGCATCTATGCGTGAGATGCAAAAACGCAAGTGGGCGGGGAAGCTCCGCCCACTTTTGGCAAGCCCCGCCCACTTTTCAAAAATGCTGGAAATCGCTCAAAATCAATGAATTCGTGCGAATTCCGGCATTTTTGAAAAGTGGGCGGAGCCTGCCAATCAGGGGGCGGAGTTTGCCTGACGGTGGGCGGAGCCCGTATAAAAGTTACTTGAGGTCTTTGCGTTCATTCATCTACGGCCTCATCCATGCTTTTTATGAACAAAAAGGGTCCCTGTGAGGGTATAGAAGTGGGAGGAGTTTGCCAAAAACGGGCGGGACTAATACATGAGATACATCTGAGCCTATGTTGGTTATATGAGCAAAAACTGAGAGGATTGAACAGATAGTATTGAAATTAAGGCCGCCGCGCACCATTGCGCGGCGTCGTCCACAGGGACAGACTGCCTGCCGCGCACCATTGCGCGGCACTGTCGTCAACGTGTTAACGAAGTCTTGAGGCAGTAGCTCTGCATAGTTAAAGAATGTGTAATCAAGCTATAAGCCGAGCTACAATTCTTATAATATACTCGTGACATATAAATTAAAAACTCTCAAGATACGCTCTCCAGCGCTTTTGAATACGGTAGAGAGTGTGACATGAGCTAGCCTTGAGTCAAAATGTCTTGGTCACGATTACAACGTGAGCTGTCGTTTAGAGGATGCTCAGGAGACCACCACTTTCCACGGAACTGTATATAAATAAGTACTATATGTGCTTAAAGTGCCGTTTAGATTACGCTCTGCGGTTTGCAAATGAGATTTATTGAGACTTTTCAGGGGAAGATCGGAGGGAAATAGAGAAGAGTCAACCGTTGAATTTGCATCGTCAAAATTCAGTTGCTTTGTAATCTTCCTCTTCTTGGAATTAAGAAAGGATAAGCTCAAACTTGTGCAGACCATATATGCAAACTTTTCATCTTTTAGTCTCGCGGTAGATTTATAAGTTTTCTCGAGGCCATGAGCACGAGGCGGGTAACCAGTTCCTCCTTCATAACTAGCCACACGTTGGACGTTGGTCATTCCTCAGATTTGGCAAGGTTTGACTGCATATGATCATGGGAAGATATAGGGTATTGTGCTTATTATAAAATTTGATTCTCTTAATGTGTTTTGTAATCATCAGAACAACTGTTGATATACACAATTATCTTTTGCTTAATTATGCTGCTGGGGTTCTGGTGTTTCTGACACGCTATTGAAACTGGTTTCAGCATTTCCATATGTTGTAGAACGGTCTTTGTCATCAGATCTTCGTACTTGTACACGATCTGCTTTTAGTACCTTGTACACGATTCCGCTCGTGACAAAGCTAAAGCAGCTGGGATATAACTCTGTGGACGAAATGCTGATGAGCTCCGGCTGCTTCGTAACCGCAGTCCTTGAGTCTAAAAAACATTATAGAGCGGAGTAAGTGTAGTTGAAATTTTCCTTTTTTGCATGTGATATCACTGATTTTCAGTCCACAACGGGGCAGTAATGCTACTCAGAAAAATTCTTCTCTTTTCAAAAGGCAGGTGAAGAAGAAGAAAGCGAAAACGCCCAAAATTGATACGCCTACAAGGCGTTACTTTCATAGAGCCAATTCTAGGCCTCACTCTTTCCTTTGTCGACCAACTGTGAGTATTAATAGTCCAATTAAACGCTCTATAAGCAGTGTAGTGACTGTTTTTGCAGGCTTTCGCAGCCGGACTCATCCAGAATCAAAAGACTACTCTTCCGAAAGTCCCACAAGTAAGATATGTTCTACCTTCATCCATTTATCCTTCAAGCATCAAACTTCTGAAGTTTTCAAATTTCAATTTGTAATCGTCAAAAAAGGATGTATCACCAACAAGCCGCCTGTAAATTCCGTACAACATATTGAGGGTTGTTCAGAAATCGCTGGAATGTTTGTCTGTGGAACCGAAATCGTTGCCAGTTTCATCTGGCGAACATCTTACAATGCCTAAGTTTTGCAGTCGCCTTATCGAAATCATCCTAGACAGGAAACACGACCTAGTTAACGTATGCCATCCACGGTAGAATTTTTTTGTCTTCCTTTGTATGATCTACTTTAGCTGAGCACCATATCGGAATTATATGAAGAACGATATGCCGTGGAATTTACCACCAATGAATACCTGATACAGGAACAGGTGCTGGCAAAGTCGCGTAGCACAGGATACATCGACTGTAGCGGGTCGCGTACCACAATATACGTCGATAGTGGTGGGGTATGAACTTTTTGCTGTGGTTATGTGAGAACCAATGGCGTAACGAGGGGGGGGGGGTATATTGGGGAGCTGGGGGCACGAGCACCTCTTCCGAGAATAGGTCGCGAAATTTTTGAAAGATACTTACATGAGTTATAAAAATGTCCAAATGACATGTTTACACCTGTAGAAAATTGAAATAATATTTGGAGTTTCTAAAATTCAGTTTAGTTTTGCAGGCAATTTTTTTGCCCTTTTCCTAAATCTCGGGGTCATGGGCCCCCAAAAACTTTAGAAAACATCCCAAAAAAATTTCGGAGTGTGTGGCTACTTACCTCACTGGAAAATTTTTTGGTCGCACTCTCCCCCCCCCCCCCCCCCACCCAAAAAACGGAAATCTTGAAGTTGCCACTGGGAAAAAGCTCTGCTATTCAGTACTTACATCTGAATCGCGAAGAGGTCAATGACAAACGAACAGTGACAGCAGAACCAGTACAAGCGTCATTGAAAGCTGACATTGGCAATGGTCAGTACTGTATCATCAATAGCACTGAGAAAAATCTTGCGAGAATTTTTGAAAATAGAACTAACAAGGAGAGGATACTTAGGGCCGCATGCACTAATATCCCCGCGGGGAGGGGATCGCAGCTTCAGAAGAAAGCTTCATATCCTGAAGCTCCGGATATCTGGATTTCACGCTGTCTACCTATCCGTAAGTATTCCTACTACCCTTCACTATGAATATGTTGAACAGGAGCGAGAAGGTGTACAAACCGCATTTTCCAGCTTTTGTATGATCCCTGATGATCCCCGGCGCTTTTCTTTGAAGTCATTTTTCTTTCTCCGAAGTTAACGAAAACCTTCCAAAGTTGTACTGAACATTTAACACAATACTGCTAAGCATGTTGCTGATGAGAACAAATGACTTTTTGAAAAGTCGAGTTTTTCGGTAAGCCTCAAATTTCGACCTGTGGATCATCGCAAATTTCATGACTTCAAAACATTATTTGTTCTTAGCAGCAACATGCTTAGCACTGTCGGGTTAGAGAATCTGCACAACTCTGGAGATTTTTCGTTAGCTTCGGAGAAAGAAAAATGACTTTGAAGAAAAGCGCCAGGGATCATTAGGGATCATACAAAAGCTGGAAAATGCGGTTTGTACAGCTTCTCGCTCCTGTTCAACATGTTCATAGTGAAGGGTAATAGGAATACTTACGGATAGGTACACAAAGTGAAATCCAGGTATCTGGAGTTTCGAAATATAAAGCTTTCTTTTAAGCTGCGATCCCCTCCCCGCGGGGATGTTAGTGCATGCGGCCCTTAGTCGAAAGCACCAATCCAGATGAGACATACATCATCGTGACCTGCTCATAGCGCTGATTTCAAATCTGTCCTCCTTATCTGCGGAGCGCCTCTGGGTGAGGAGGTATGACCGTTTCAAGAGTCAAAAATTGAATGGGTAAAGAGAATAGTATTGATTGTTACAACATGTATATTTCGCAGATAGACTCGTTTTAAGTGTGGGTATAGCAGACAGACATTTTTCTTTGCGCAGAGTAATCTGGCAGACATCACTCCCCCATTCGAGCCCAACTGGAGACTTCCGCGTATAATTTTTTTCTTTCCTCGAACTCAACTTTTCTCCACAAAAACAACCATAACTCGTTGCCCGAAAGCGCTCCGCAGCCGATTTTGCCAGATTTGAAATCAGCGCTCCGAACAGGTCACAATGATGTATGCCTCATCTGGATTGGTGCTTTCGACTAAGTATCCTCTCCTTGTAAGTGTATTTCAGATATGTCCGAATCTCCAACATCGTCGTCAAGCGAATGCTACGTGGGAAATTCTGAGGTATTAGTATGGCTAATTCACTTCCTTCAGATTGATCGTTGTCCGCGACAGCGACAACGCGACCAGGGGATCTGTCATACTTCGCGTGATCTTGGTCACGCGCTATTTCGGATTGCAACGTTGGTACATGTAGGCTTAGCAACCAGCATCCAATATGCCCGCGAGCACGCACCGCCACTTGCTATGTCCCTTTAGGTCCCGGGCATACCTCACTCGATTTCAGTCACCACACGTCTGGGAATCTGCCAGATCTTTTCAAATCCAACACCAACAGCCTACAAATTCACATCATTGACCTACCTTTCATTTCCCAGAATGCTCTTACGATGAGCTATAAGCAGTTGGAGTATTGGCAAATCGCATCGCGGCTGAAATCGCGTGGGATATACCCGGGGCACATCGGTAGGCAGAGTTCATACGCGTCACACCGAACAGTCGCAAGTTGCCGCATGCACACGTCGCATGGCTGATGGTGGTTGGTAGAGCTTACAAACAGGGTCGAGAAAGAAGTATGGCACACAACCACCATGTACGGCTCCCCCCCCCTCCCCTCTAAGCTCTGTCTCATTGTCAGTGGACGTAGGCATAACTTAAGGGCTCTACCAAGCACAATCTTATATATAAAGCTGAATGTCTGTTTGTCTGTCTGTCTGTCTGTCTGTATGTCTGTATGTACGTATGTTCCGAATAGAAAATTCCATTTCTTAACCGATCCAGACCAAACTTGGCACACATACACTTCGGGCCCCGGCGGGTGTCATAGGCTACTTTTCGTCATCGATCGATTTGCAAAATTTGAGCGTGGGGGTGATCAGCATGCTCGATTACCCCCCTGTGCCAATTCCCAGCCCCGTAGCTCAAACTTTGCAAAAAAATCGATAAAATCGATAAAAGTAATGCACGATCTTAAAAACTAATATTGTATTCGGAATCCCCATGCTCACTTACCCCCCTGTGCCAACTCCCAGCCCCGTAGCTCAGGGCCCGGCACGAGGTGGGCGGAACGGGGTTTTCCAAAACGAATTCCCCTTTGACCCAAATAGCTTTTACGAATACCCCCTTGAGCCCAAAAATGACGCTTTGTGCTTGTGAAACGAGAGCATCGGCCACACTTCCCCTAAAAGCGCTCAAAAGCGCCCAAAATGCTCAAATTCCTCTAATTACTCTTTACCTGTATCAAGATAGAAAACAGGAAGAAAAATAAGCAAGGAAAATGATGAATGAATGAAAAAATATCAAAGGAACGCAGTCATAGGACTGAGAGACGCCGTTCCCGCGCGTATCGATTGACTGGGGCGCGCTTTCCGTTTAGAAAGCTAGGCTGCTGATGCGATTTTGGGCTCTAACAAAGACAAGAGGAGGAGTTTCGGAACCAAAATCCCACCATATAGTAAACTTTAGGTGAACAACAGATTTATGTAAAAATTTTGAAAAAATTATGTGAATTGAAAGTTTTGCCCACCTCAGGTGGGCATTAGGTGGGCAATTGCCCACCTAAATTGGAAAAAAGTTAAGCACGCTCTTCATTCACATAAGTTTTTCATAACATTTCATGCTTTGTTTCTACTAGCCTCACTTTATTCGCTTACGTAATTTGGTGCTATATCATTACGCCTGCATTGAGAACTGATCATGTAATCATGCTGTTCAACGGCATCGCTCATGCGACGTCGCGCATGCGGCAATTAGCGGCAACGGGGCGTAGTGCGCGCGAAGTCAGCTGTGCGTTGAGGTTTATGAAAATTATTTTCCGATGAATTAAATGTATAAGGTAAGCATGACTCGACCATCTTTTGCTTGCACTTGGAATCTTCTTCCGGAGCTCCGCCCCGGATCCCGCAAAAACGATATCCCCTTTGCTTTTTGGCCCCAAAACGATTTCCAGCTTGTCATTTGCCCACCTCGTGCCGGCCCCTGAGCTACCTTTCTGTATTCAATACAAAGCACTACTCTCTGTTTGTTCATACCATGTATCCTGCTTCAAATAACCGGGTGGGGGAACGAAAGCCGCCAGGTCCAGCCGCCTTTCGCGGCCAGCTGGTCCTTTCGCAGCGTTGTTGCATGTCGTAGGACCAGCAGTCCGCGGAGGCGGCTGGACCTGGCGGCTTTCGTTCCCCCACCCCAAATAACCATCAAACTATAAAATTAGGAGCCAGCCGAAATCTCATTTGTCCCATTTTTCGCTTACACTGGTTGTGCTTTCGGCAACTATTGCTCAAATGAAAGAAGACAGATTCAGCTCCAATCTTTTCTTTGAAAAATACAAGATTTTGACTATCAAACTGTGTATTATTTGTTTGCTAAAATTCCTTTGAAGATAAGTTAAAGGGGGTGTGACACAACCTCGGAAAGCTGTGGCTGCCACACTTTTCAAGAATTGTGCCGACTCCCATTAAAGGCAGCGTCCAGGCAGATTTGGACCTATGGGGCATTTACGTGGAAAGTACTTTTGGGGCCCTAACTAAGGCACTGCCCAAGCGGCAGCTCAGGTGGTGCTGTAATGGCTGAGATATTCCCCTCGAAACTGGCCCCCGCGACCGTGTTTCGCATGGATTCATGGCGCAAAGCGTGATCCTGGCGCGAAACTGCCATGAGTCCATGCGAATACGTTCGCGGGGGCCAGTTTCGAGGGAAATATCTCAGCCATTAGAGCACTACCTGAACTGCCGCTTGGGCAATGCCTTAGTTAGGGCCCCAAAAGTACTTTCCACTCAAAAACCCCATAGGTCCAGATCTGTCTGGACGCTGTCTTTAAGTTATTTTGAGAGCATTCAAACATTTGCGCTTTTTATATCTTTGCCACTGCAAAATCTCCCTTCCTACGCTGCAGGATTTTCATTCAGAATGATTCTTCTAGGGAAAGATACACTCGTTTTTTACGCATAGTCTGAATGGATCCTTGATTTTTGCTCCCGTAACATCTGTAGCTCTAAACTCTTTCTTACACTTGAACACTTCAAGCTTTCCTTCTAACAAAGTTTGATTTAGGCTGCTGATTGCGCTTACTTCCCCGTGACAGGTAGTGCACAAAACCTTCATCTCTTTTGTTAAATAATTCATATTTTTCCATGATGTATAGACGCCGGGAGTAAGACGCGGCGCGATCTTACGAGGATAAAAGAGGAACCTCTGGATCAGGCCTTTAACTGTTATCTGAAGGTTGGATTCTTTCCTAGTTCTTCAGTTTTTTATCATAGAACTCATCCCCTTTGCTTTTCAGTTGAATCGATCTTGCTATGAACGCATAGGTACTGCCGAAGACGACTTGAGTGATCTGTCTGATGCTGAATCCCTCCAAGACCTTGTGAGTTATTTCATCATCTTGCCAATTTAATGGACCCACGTGTCCATAACGATATCACTTCTAACAATCAATCTTTCTTCTAGCAGCCAGGTGTATGTATGTGCGCCGATCCATTTTCAAACCTTTTCTTTGCTGTAAAAAATTGTTATCACTTCACACTTCTATGTCGCACTTAACGGCTGTTTGCATATTTTCCCCCTAAGAATAGTTTGTTGTACCAAAAGAATCGCTTGAAGCCGGCAAAAACCAATAAGCGCCCCAGCTGCCTCTAACATTGGATCGTGCGCGTGCAATACGGTAACGAGTTTGGTTTGGCAATAAATATCACAGCCATGAGTTCACCATTTGAGCTGCTGCTTAGTACTGTCTTAACTCGCTCTTAAAATTATTTTAAGTGCGATTATAATTTGAACAAAGTTGCCCTGACGCTGCTCCTCGTTGATAGGCTCCTCTAAACACAAGAGGTGTTGGTTCGCGACCAGGGCTCGGCATGAGCTAGAACAGAGAGGGTTTTGAATCAAAGTTATTCTTGGGTTCAGCAAGATTGTAAAAGTTCCTCTGGGCCTTCAAAGCCCTCTCAATATCCCTTACCTGTTTTCTATATTCGGGTCGCTTAGCCCTGGAATAAGTGGTAGAAGCGGAAATTCTTTCCATTTAACTCATCACTATTCCTACTACTGCAAAATTTAGTCTTGTAAACATAGAATTAGAATTCAAAAACGGTTGAAGATGTATGCCAAGATGAGCTATAGCTGGAGACAGGGCCTATGTATTTTGCGGTTGTCAACATGCCGCGCATAGCTTAGGGAAGGAGTATGAAAAGGTTTTGTGGTTTGAAAAGTTTCGATATGCAAATCCTTCTATATATATAAAACCGAATGGGATTTTGTCTGTACACTGATGGCTTGTCTGTACGCTGGTGGATAAGCATGCTTGTTGATGCTGTCTGTAGGTCCTCGATGGTGTTTTCGTGTTTGTCATTTTCCAGCATGGAAGCTTGTTATTACTTCTACCAAATTTATCGATTATTTGTAAAATCTGAACTACGGGGCTGGGAGTTGGCACACGGGGGTAATCGAACATGCTGATTACGAATATGATAACCATTTTCAAAAATGCCCATTACTTTTATCATTTTATCGATTTTTTGGCAAAGTTCAAGCTACGGGGCTGGAAGTTGGCACACGGGGGTAATCGAGCTTGCTGATTACGAATTTGATAACCATTTTCAAAAATGCCCATTACTTTTATCATTTTATCGATTTTCTGGCAAAGTTCAAGCTACGGGGCTGGGAGTTGGCACGAGAGGGTAAGCGAACATGCTGATTACGAATACAATACTGGTTTTTAGAATTATCAGTTATTTTTATCATTTTATCGATTTTTTTGCAAAGTTCAAGCTACGGAGCTAGGAGTTGGCACACGGGGGTAGTCGAGCATGCTGATTACGTATACAGTATTAGTTTTTAGAATTATCAGTTATTTTTATTATTTTATCAATTTTTTTGCAAAGTTCAAGCTACGGAGCTAGGAGTTGGCACACGGGGGTAATCGAGCATGCTGATTACGAATACAGTATTAGTTTTTAGAATCAGTAATTTTTATCATTTTATCGATTTTTTTTGCAAAGTTCAAGCTACGGAGCTAGGAGTTGGCACACGGGGGTAGTCGAGCATGCTGATTACGAATACAGTATTAGTTTTTAGAATTATCAGTTATTTTTATTATTTTATCGATTTTTTGGCAAAGTTCATGCTATGTGGCTGGGAGTTGGCACAGGAGGACAAGCGAACATGCTGATTACGAATACAATATAGCTTTTAGAATTATCAGTTATTTTTATCATTTTATCAATTTTTTTGCATGGTTCAAGCTACGGGGCTGGAGTTTGGCACGCGGGGGTAATCGAGCATGCTGATTACGAATATGATAACCATTTTCATAAATACCCATTGCTTTTATCATTCTATCGATTTTTCTGCAGATTTTGAACTACGTGACTGGGAGTTGGCATACGGGGGTAAGGGAACATGCTGATTACGAATATCATAACATTTCAGAAAATACCCCTTACTTCTATTGGTTTAATTGATTTTTTGCAATGTTTGAACTATGGCGTTGGGGATTGGTACTTGCAGGTAATTGAGCATGCTGCTCACGAGCACATTCTTATTTTACAACTTGCATCTTACCTTCACTGGCTTTATCGATTTTTTGCAAAGTTTAAGCCAGGAACTGGGATTTGGCACATGGGAGAAAGCGAGCATGCCGATTACGATTGTAATAAGTGTTCTTAGAGGAACCTATTATTTTTGTTGATTTTTCTATTCTTTGTAGAATTAGAGCTACACGGCTGGCATTGCACAAAGTTGTATGTGAGCACGCTCACTGCAAAGATAGTTTTTGGGAATTTCCATTACTTTTATTGATTTCATCTTTTTTTCAAAGCTGAAGCTACGAGGCTCAGATGGCACTAATCCGGGGGTAAGTGAGCATGCTGAGAATTCTATAATCGCACTCGGAAATGACGAAGGCGGTAAATTTACCTAAAGTTGTTATAAATTCACTTTGGCCCGCCTTTACCTTTTTGAATCCTACTTCTGCCCCCAAAATTAGAAAAGCACATAGAGCCTGGTTTCGAGGAAAGAAAATGCTTGTAAACTGAGGCGGCAAGCAGTGGCGGACCGAGGGAGGGGGGTGGGGGGGCGCCCCCTCCCCCGAGAATGGGTCGCGAAATTTTTGAGACTTACCTATATGGGTTATAAAAATGTGCAAACGACTTGTTTATTTATGTAACTAATTGAAATAATTTTTAAAATTTTTTAAAAATTCAAATTAGCTTTATAAAAAAATTTTTTCGGGGGCGTGGCTGACGTCACGCCCCCTTTTTTCAGATTAGGGGTTGGGGACCTGCAAAAATTTAGAGAAGCACCCCAAAAATTCTTTCGGAGTGGGTGGCTAACGCTACGCACCTTCATTTGAAAAAAATTCTTGTCGCGCCCCCCTCGGTCCGAAATCCTGCGACCGCCACTGGCGGCAAGATATTTCGGTACTTTTCCGTTATCTGGACCCATTTTTTCAAAGAAGAGTATTGCTTCCATCCTTGTACCATATTTGGTCTCAGCTTTACAGGGAGGAGTGCCAACCTTCTGCCACGTGTCAAAAAAATTTAAAATGTCATTTACATGCTTAACAGGTTTTACTAAGAGTTTTCGTTCAATCTGTTTTGTAGTCAATTTCAACCTCATTTCGATCAAGTATTTCAAAGTGAACATTGTCATAATAATAACGACATACTCTTATCGATGAACAGACTAGACTTGCTCGGAATAGAGAAGTGCATGAGATGAAATCATTTAAGAGGCAAAATAAGCGGCAGCAAGGGACTTCAAGCTTCATTTATAGTCTTTTCTGGCTAAAATCGCATGGCCAAAAGGGTTTGAAGAGAAAAGCATTATTAAATCACCACTGAAAGCAAGCAAGAGATCTAAAACAAAGTCAAGATTGTTTTGCTTTTATGTAAAACATTTAAACAGCTTAAAAGTGACTACAATCTCTTTTACCTCCCCGGAAATGGTTTCGAAAAAAAATCATGTCAGAATGAACCGAAAAGTCAATTTTTTTGTGACACGTGGCAAGGAGGCAGTCCTCGTAGAAACTATAAAAAATTATTCTTAGACTAAAGAAAGTATCACATGGGAGCCTTTCGAAGAAATGGGTCCGGATAACGGAAAAGTACCGATATTTTCGCTAAGGATTTCTACGAGTCAATTTCTAATTATACAGAAATTTCCTTAAATTCACTTCTGTCCCTTCCACTCTGCAAAAACCATACTTCTGCCTCTGAAAGCAGAAAAGTGGTCTCTGGGGAAGGACAGACCCATGAGCTTCATCCGGCACGGCATTTTCACTAAAACTTTAGACTCTCAAACTGCAAAAACCACAAAACTCAAAAACCACATATCTGGCCCTAAAAGCAGAAAGACAGGGAGCTTGGTCTCGATGGAAGAAAGAATTATGCCTCAGGCAGCAAGAGACTTTCGCCAGAAGTTTCTGGGTGTCAATGATTATACAGAACTTGCTTGAAATTTTCTTCTGGCCCTTTTGGTCTCGAGGAGAAAACACTAATAAGCTCAGCCAGCAAGATACTCTCGCTGAAACTTTCTGGGTGTCAATGTTTATTCATACTTAAACTTGCTTCATTTACTTCTGGCCCTTCTACTTTGCAAAAAAAAACCATACTTCTGCCTCTAAAAGTAAAAAATCACAAAGTGCTCTCGAGGGAAGGACAGACCCATGAGCTTCATCCGACAGGACAGTCTCGCTAAGACGTTTGACCCCCTAGACTTCGCAAAAACCAGTACTTCTGCCCCTAAACGCAGAAAAGCACAGAAAATCCAATCTCGGGGGAAGAAAGAATCATGGCTTCAGGCAACAAGGTATTCTCGCCAGAAGTTTATGGGTGTCAATAATCATACAGAAACTTGCTTAAAATTTACTTCTGGCCATTCTACTTTGCAAAAACCACACTTCTTCCTCTAAAAGCAAAACAGTACAGAAAGCTTAATCTCGAGAAAATGGCAGAACCATGAGGCTTCATGCGACAAACATTTTCGCTATAGCGTCTGACCTCCTAGACTTCGCAAAAACCAGTGCTTCTGCCCCTAAAAGCAGAAAAGCACAGGGAATTTAGTCTCTAAGGAAGGACAGACCCATGAGCTTCTTGCAACAGGACATTTTCACAGAAACTTTCGGCCCCTTCTACTTCGCAAAAACCAGTACTTCTGCCCTGAAAGCAGAAAAGCACAGGGATTTAGTCTCTAGGGAGAGACAGACCCATGAGTTTCATCCGACAGGACATTTTTTAAGACTTTTGACTCCCAAACTTCGCAAAAAACCATAAAACTCAAAAACCACACTTCTGGCCCAAAAAACAAAAAAGCACAAGGAGCTTGGTCTCGAGGGAAGTAAGGATTATGGCCTCAGGCAACAAGATGTTTTCGCCAGAAGTTTCTGGTTGTCGGTGTTTCATTATACAGAAACTTGTTTGAAATTCGTGGCCATTCTACTCTGCAAAATCCATACTTCTACCCCTAAAAGCAAAACAGCACAGATAGCTTGGTTTCGAGGAAAAGAGACTCATAAGCTCAGCCATCAAGATATTTTCGCTGAAAACTTCTGGGTGTCAATGTGTATTCTACAGAAACTTGTTTAAAATTCACTTGTGGCCATTCCACTCTGCAAAAACCAGACTTCTGCTTCTGAAAACAGAAGAGTGGTCTCGAGGGAAAGACAGACCGGGAGACGGTCAAGAGGCGCGATTTTTCTGGCTGTCACCAACTTAAAACTTCAGTTTCTCGCTATGGGAGTGTTCAAAAAGTGTCGGACAAAGTCCATCGGCTTACTAGCTGTTTGAAGTAACCATTTGATAAGTTCGACGACTTTTGCTAGAAAACTGACCGAAATAGTTACAAAATTGCTATAAACTGCATTTTCATGGGTTTTTGACCTTCAACAATTTTGTTTTGAATCGCTTTCAAAATGATAAGATCAAAGAATTCCTGCAATTCTCTAATGTACTTCTTTTAAAATTTCAAATAATCCTGGAACTTCATAAAACACTAAGTATGTGCTATATACTGCCCATCTGGTAATAAGAATCGCGCCTCTTGACATACATCCAAACAGACCCATGAGCTTCTTGCGACAGGAAATCATCTTTGCTGAAAATTCTGGCCTTCTGAACTTTGCAAAAACCACACTTTTGTCCCTAGAAGCAAAAAACAGGGAGCTTGGTCTCGAGGGAAGAAAAGACTCAGGGCTCAGGCAGCAAGATATTTGCGCTAAAAGTTTTTAGGTGTCAATATTTGATTATACAGAAACTTGCTGGAAAAATTACCCTTCTTCTCAACCATACTTCTGCTAAAAGCGGAAGCATAAGGAGCTTGGTTTCGAGGGAAGGAAAGAACTAGGGTTTTATACGACAGGACAGTTTCGGTAAGATTGTCCTTCAAAAGAAGGCGCTGGGCCAGCTTCTGCTCAAGAAATGAGCCCGTTCACTGGCAAGACATCATAGAAGAAAATGCTGCTTCGTTTTTACCGACATATCTGAGCTTTTGGCTGCTGGAAGACATAAATTGACGCTTCCTTTAACATGGCACTTTTCTGGAAATCAATCTGATTTTTGGGATGAATCAGCTGCTCTAAAGAGTTGCTTCGAGTTAGCTTCCTTGTTTAAGAGCTGTGGTATCTGGGCAAAGGTATGTGCAAGAAAACAGCAAAGATGCTTTGCGCATAGTCAGTGGTAGTAGCTTCTTTTCCTAAGAGCATAGTGTTTTGTTTCTACTACTCACAACATGCGAAAAGTCGCTGGGAAGATGAAAATTCTCTTTCTTGGGATTTTAGTTAATTAATGGCAGATATCAATGTATCTGCCCCCACCCACCTACTAGTCTTATATATAAAGCTGAATGTCTGTTTGTCTGTCTGTCTGTCTGTATGTATGTATGTATGTCTGTACGTATGTTCCGAATAGAAAATTCCATTTCTGAACCGATCCGGACCAAACTTGGCACACATACACTACGGGCCCCGGCGGGTGTCATAGGCTACTTTTCGTCATCGATCGATATCGATTTTATCGATTTTTATCGATTTTTTTGCTGAGTTCACCTACGGGGCTGGGAGTTGGCACAGGGGGGTAATCGAGCATGGGGATTCCGAACACAATATTGGTTTTCAGGATTATCGATTACTTTTATCGATTTTATCGATTTTTTTGCAAAGTTTGAGCTACGGGGCTGGGAGTTGGCACAGGGGGGTAATCGAGCATGGGGATTCCGAATACAATATTGGTTTTCAGGATTATCGATTACTTTTATCGATTTTATCGATTTTTTGCAAAGTTTGAGCTACGGGGCTGGAAGTTCGCACAGGGGGGTAATCGAGCATGGGGATTCCGAACACAATATTGGTTTTCAGGATTATCGATTACTTTTATCGATTTTATCGATTTTTTTGCAAAGTTTGAGCTACGAGGCTGGGAGTTGGCACAGGGGGGTAATCGAGCATGGGGATTCCGAATACAACATTGGTTTTCAGGATTATCGATTACTTTTATCGATTTTATTGATTTTTTGCAAAGTTTGAGCTACGGGGCTGGAAGTTCGCACAGGGGGTAATCGAGCATGGGGATTCCGAATACAACATTGGTTTTCAGGATTATCGATTACTTTTATCGATTTTATCGATTTTTTGCAAAGTTTGAGCTAGGGGGCTGGGAGTTGGCACAGGGGGGTAATCGAGCATGCTGATCATCCCCAAGGGGGGTGATCAGCATGCTCGATTACACTCCTGTGCCAAATTCCAGCCCCCTAGCTCAAATTTTCAAAAAATCGATAAAATCGATAAAAGTAATGGACGATCTTGAAAACTAATATTGTATTCGTAATCTGCATGCTCGATTACCCCCTGTGCAAACCCAGCTCTGCAGGTCAAACTTTACAAAAAAAATCGATAAAATCGATAAAAGTAATGGACGATCCTGAAAACTAATATTGTGTTCGTAATCAGCATGCTCGATTACCCCCTGTGCAAAATCCCAGCCTCGCATGTCAAAATTTACAAAAAATCGATAAAATCAATAAAAGTAATCGATAATCCTGAAAACAAATATTGTGTTCGGAATCCCCATGCTCACTTCCCCCCCCTGTGCCAACTCCTAGCCCTGTAGGTGAACTCTGCAAAAAAATCGATAAAAATCGGTAAAATCGACATCGATCGATAACGAAAAGTGACTGTGACACCCGCCGGGGCCCGAAGTGTATGTGTGCCAAGTTTGGTCCGGATACGGCGGAGCCGGGTAAGCCAGCTAGTACTCTATAAAAACAACTTTGCAAAATTATGGGCGCAAGGGGTCTGGTCCAGCGCTGGTTCACTGAAGAGGTTCCGGCTATATAGTAGGGAAATCACTAACTAACTATGAGCTATTATGAGCTATCGCCCAAGTTATTATTGTTTCGCTGCAAAGCATGAAACCCGAAGCGAGAAATTGCCTTGGAAGGTGGGAGCGCGGTGTGGCTTCGTCCCTCAGTTGTGGGTGGTCTGATAATCAGTGAAAGTCATCAGGGTAAGTAGAAACGTGAAAATCTGATAATCATAGGAAAGGGTGGATAACTTCAGTATTGTAACCCTTTTGACTCATTATCTAAAACCACCCACTTCGACGGGAGGATTTAACTTCGCCGCTTCTACCTTCTGAAACGATTCTATCGGTCCGATTTTGCAGCGGTTGGGCGATTGATGGTGGGTTTTGCTATATTACAACATCAAAATGTTGGCATTGTTCAAATGTTGGCATGCGTATCCTACCTTCAATCACGAAAACCACAGATGAGTGAGGCGCTTTTACACTAGTGCGTAAGTATTCAATTTTTGAGCGATTTTCTGCTCTATCGTTGCCGTGACCGACAATCCACTTTTCACATAGTATTCAAATCTCAGGATGCTAAAAACTTAAAACTGTATCTAATTTTGTATTGAGACAGCAAGTTACAGTGTGAAATGCAAATCACAGTGGCAGAAAATTCTCAGCCGTCTGGTAAAGCTGTGAATGTGAACGAAAACGAACAATACTGCTTCCATCATCAGCCATCAGAGGGAAATCCAAACAGCACTTTACCTTTTGGATGCACTCCATCTTCAGTATTCACTATGGTAAGTTTCTTCAATCACGTTTCTCAACCGTTCAACATACATAATTTCAGTCAAACAGTTCAGGGAGTCGAAAAAAATTGGGGAAAGAATTCGCATCAATAGGAAAATTTTTCCAAAAAACCGCCTCAAAAAAGAATTACAAGGTAGTCTGTCGAGTAACAACACAATGTCTATTTTTCTCCTGATATTCTGCTGCATTAAATAAATACAGAATTTGATGTTTGACGTAACACTGACCTTTCGAAGCTTGAAGAGTTTACTTCCAGAATGCAAGCAAAAAACCCACATTTGAAAGCAAATCGTCTGCAATGAGGCCATTAAATGATGGGATGAATGGTGAGATGTCGGTCTCTATCAAAACATCACGTTTTACTTGGTGACTAAGATGAACGATAAATGGTAGCTCTCGATAATCTGCACAACCTTCATTTCATTTCTGGCCATCCACCTACAGATTTTTACTACGTTTCTTTTTTTTTACTTTTTCAATTAGCCGGGTAAAGCGGAGTTTGCTTGCTTGGGAGGTGAGAATATCAAAAAAGTTGCAGTTGCATCAGTAAGCTGTACTCATCACTAAGCTCCGAGCAGAATTTGTTGCACAAAGCATTCCCTCCAACACTACTCATCACTGCGTCCTAATCTCGTTCGAACCACCACTCACTTTTTCGTTATGGGAACTACGTCTTAAATTTGATTAGAGATTGAGAATTAATAGATATGAAAAAGCCATGTAAGAATATGTTTGCGTTTCCTGGGAAGAAAATGAAGCAATTAGTGCATCATCATTCATTAGATGCGGCTGGCAAATGGTACCGTTCCTCTTGATTCACACACCGTTTTATCACTTCTCCCTGAAAAAACCATACATTAACCATCTGCGAAAGCACGCAGCGAAATGGTCCCAAAGACGAGCATAAAGGGAACCAAGATAGAGCTCAGCTCAAGCTAAATCAATACAGCATTCCAGTGGAAAACACAGAACCGCGTAATAGTCCATTTGACAAGAAAGTGTGCATACGTTGGCCTCCTTTGTGCCATCATCGACTACCAACAATAGGCTGGGCGAAGTCTTGGCAAGACTGTTCCACACGTTGTTGCGAGATGGTGGGAACCATCGAAGCTAAGTCCATAATGCTCTGCTCTTATATCGCTGGGAGGAGATGAGCTATGCAGCCGCTTGCATTGGCTATACAGCCGCTCGCGAGCCGACCTATATGCCAGACACTTAAGAATCGGGTTCAAAACTTCGCTCACAAATGATAGGCTGCCCATGAAGAGAGAAAAACACGTAGACTTCTCACATTCTTTTGGCCATGTTCATCTGATCTGATCAAAGGAAACGCTTAGTTGCTTGCCATTTGAGCGGTAATAGAGGCATTCGCAAGTCTTACGAGAAATATGGGCGCTATTCCACATTAGTTGACCCAAAAAATGAAAACCTTGAAATTTGCTAAAACTTCGTCTAGGGGGGTTTGGTACGCTGAACACGAATATGATGTTTGTTTCGTGCGACAGCGCCACCCGATGGAATTACGGTAGAATTGCGGTAGGGGGTCAAAATCACGGATTTGCCAACTTGGCCTAGAGGGGTTATTCGGCCCGCTGATGCTGAATATCACATTGGTTTTGTACCGTAGCGTCATTTTCGCGGGTTGGTGGGTATACGGTAGGGGGTCAAAATCTCAAAATCCGCTGTAACTTCGCATAGAGGGGTTATTCGACATGCTGATAAGAAATGTCACACTTTCCCCGCACGAAAACGTCTCCCTGCATGGTTACGGTAGGTTTACAGTAGAGGTCAGAATCAAAAATCGGCAAATGTATCCTTACCGTGTGCTTTGCTTAGGCAAAAGCCGCAGCAGGGTGTGCAGCGCGGCGGTGGGTGTGTGCAGAGCTTCACGATCGTCCGAATCGCTACACCCGTTTTTCAGGCAGAACTATGTTTTACACCGTGTAGCTACCGTTAACCCGAGAAAATGACGCTATGGTTCAAAACCAATGTGATATTTGGCATCAGCGGGCCGAATAACCCCTCTGGGCCAAGTTTCGGGCAAATCCGTGATTTTGACCCTACCGTAGTCCTACCGTGACTCCACCGGATGAAGCTGTCGCACGAAATGAACATCATATTCGTGTGCAGCATACCAAATAACCCCCCCCCCCTAGACGAAGTTTTAGCGAAATTCATGATTTTCTTTTTTGGGTGAACTTATGTGGAATAGTACCGAAATATGCACCTACCGGTTACGGGTAGATCTAATCATTGTTTTTGTGACAGTCGCAATAGGCATCGGTAATACCTCGCGCAACTGCGAAGAAACGCTATCTAGCGACATGATACATACACGCTACTAATCCACTGCGCGCAGATCTCGAATGTGCAAACGACGAATAGTTTTATAAATGCGTTTCGGATCCTGCTTGCCGAGAGGGCGCTTATTAGGAACTTTGAGCCATTGTAGCAATGCCGAATCGCGCACGATCAAAAGCGCGCGAAGCATGACCAGTGACCATACCATTTATCGCTCTCCCCTGAAAAACCCATACATCAACCATCTGCGAAAGCACGCGGCTCGAAGGTTCCAAAGAAAGCATGAACGAAACACAATCTTTTGGGTACCTAAGTCCCTCTAGTCGTAGGGTTGAGGGACTTAGGTACCCAAAAGGACGTGCCGCTACGTAGTTATAGAGCAGAGGTGGGGTCAGCAAAGCTAGTGAGCACTCGTTTAGTACTGTGCAAAGCTGCTTTTGCGCACGGTAGCCCTCGCATTTATCCAGACACAATGAATTCGCCGTTTGACTGTAGCCTAGAAATCAGAGTTCAGTAGCGATATTCGTATGATTAGGGTGAAGACTGGTACTTAGGAGTTATCTGTTACGCTGTTTCCGGATATTAAGAGTGTTCCAAAAGTATGCACACACTTAAACAGTTGGTTCTCTCTTCCCATGAAGTCTTTTGCCTACTTTAGGTAATATTCTGCACAGCTGGCTTCAACATAGATCTACTATGGAGCCAATCACCGATCGCTCTTTATTAGGGTAGGATTACTGTAAATATTTTGTAAAGGTTTTGAGCCGTTAAAAACAGTGGCTCGCAAAAATCGCAAGTGCGTGCCTTCTGTTCCTCCTTGGCCTTCTGAATGCGTCTAGACTAGAGCTGTGCTTGAAAGTGAAAAAAGTGCTTTTATGGCGTTATCCGTCGTTGCAGATTGTTGAGGATCCACAAACGCATTAAAGCATAAAGCCATAAACAGCATTTTTTTTTAACTTTATAAGCACAGCTCTGGTCTAAACGCATCCAAAAGGCCAAGGAGGAACAAAGAACGCGCGGTTGCAATTTTCCAGCCACTGCTTTGAAGGCCCCGTCCGCCCAGATTCTCGACTTCCATGTTTTGGTCGTCCGGAGGCCTTACTACGTCTTTCATTCCGAATATGAAGTCGAGAATCCGTGCAAATTCCGACAAAACTCGTTCTGGAGCACCCGCACGGCGAAGGTCCCGAACGGTGATTTAACCCATTGACGACGACGCCTAATTTTGCGTGGCGAAGCTGTGGGACTCGGCGCGGAAAATTTTGTGTTTTACGAAAAGTAAAAATGTTTTGTAAACAACTACAGCCATCTTCTTGGACGAAGAAGTCTAAGGGCCGCATGCACTAACCTCCCCGCTGGGGAGGGGATCGCAGCTCAAAAGAAAGCTTTATATTCTGAAGCTCCAGATATCTGGATTTTACGCTGTCTACCTGTCCGTAAGTATTCCTTTTGTATGATCCCTGATGATCCCCGGCGCTTTTCTTTAAAGTCGTTTTTCTTTTTCCGAAGTTAACGAAAACCTTCCAAAGTTGTACTGAACATCTAACACAACAGTGCTAAGCATGTTGCTGATGAGAACAAATGAGTTTTTGAAAAGTCGAATTTTTCGGTAAACCTCAAATTTCGACCTGCGGATCATCGAAAATTTCATGACTTCAAAATATCATTTGTTCTTATCACGAACATGCTTAGCACTGTGGGGTTGAATAATCTGCACAACTTTGGAGGTTCTTCGTTAACTTCGGAGAAAGAAAAATGACTTTAAAGAAAAGCGCCGGGGATCATCAGGGATCATACAAAAGCTGGAAAATGCAGTTCGTACAGCTTCTCGCTCCTCTTCAACATGTTCATAGTGATGGGTAGTAGGAATACTTACGGAGAGGTACACAACGTGAAATCCAGGTATCTGGAGTTTCGAAATATAAAGCTTTCTTTTAAGCTGCGATCCCCTCCCCGCGGGGATGTTAGTGCATGCGGCCCTAAAGATTGCAAGAGTGTCAAAAATTGGAAAATATGCTGAACTGTGGAAAAAATGACCTGGGAAGGATATGATTTTTGCAAGGGGTGTGAGCCACCGATAGTTCGCATCGTCGCTGGGGGCAAAAAGTGCGTGGTCCACATCGTCGTCAATTGGTTAATGAGCGCGCACAGATAGGCGAGCATTACTAGTAATGTACGATGCCGACGTGGTTGTCCTCATGCCTCTTCGTCATTCCGAAGCGATTTTCTCGCTCCCAAAGCGACATTTTCTGCGACTTGGGCATTGGCTTGATAGGTTTTACTGTCGTGAGCTGCCAAAAGCTCAATACGCCTTAGGGTGGACGGTGCTTTTTAAACGCCACATTTCGCATCAGATAAGAAAACCAAGAAGCGTTTTACGCTATGCTGTTCAGAGCCGCTGAATCCAAATATCAAATCTGCACTTTACTACAATGCTTCATCCATGAATTATGCGAGGTATACCGAAAAACTGTTTTTTTTTTCAAGAATGGGATACACAGGGTGGAGGACATTAGGTCGCCGAATTTGGAAGAGTCTCGCGCGGATTCCCTGCAGGAACGCATGTCCGCGCATGTACAAGGGTGCGCATTTGTTGCAAATGACCGCAGGGACCGCCCTTTTTCGGCGACCTAATGTCCCCCACCCGGATACACACTAAGGGCCGCATGCACTAACCTCAACGCTGGGGAGGGTATTGCCGCTTAAAAGAAAGCTTCATATTCTGAAGATCCAGATATCTGGATTTCACGTTGTGTACCTATCCGTAAGCTCCTACCCTTCGCTATGAACATTTTGAACAGAAGCGAGAAGCTGTACAAACCGCATCCAGCTTTTGTATGATCCCTGATGATCTCCGGCGTTTTCTTTGAAGTCATTTTTCTTTCTCCGAAGTTAACGAAAAACTTCCGAAGTTGTGCAGAATAGCTAACCCGACAGTGATAAGCATGTTGCTGATAAGAACAAATAGGTTTTTGGAAAGTCGAATTTTTCGGTATACCTCAAATTTCGACCTGTGGATCATCGAAAATTTCATGACATCAAAACATCATTTGTTCTTATCAGCAACATGCTTAGCACTGTCGAGTTAGACAATCTGCACAACTTTGGAGGTTTTTCGTTAACTTCGGAGAAAGAAAAATGACTTCAAAGAAAAACGCCGGGGATTATCAGGGATCATACAAAAGCTGGAAAATGCGGTTTGTACAGCTTCTCGCTCCTGTTCAACATGTTCATAGTGAAGGGCAGTAGGAACTTACGGATAGGCACAACGTGAAATCCAGGTATCTGGAGTTTCAAAATATAAAGCTTTATTTTAAGCTGCGATCCCCTTTCCGCGGGGATGTTAGTGCATGCAGCCCTAAGAAAGCATGAGGAGCTCGTAAAAAGTTACTATGTAAATTATGTCAGCATAAGTGAAAACCTCGCTATACAACTGTTTAAAGGCAGCGTCCCACCAGACTGGGGGTATACCTGGCTCTCGTAATGATGTAGTAGTAGACCCCTTACCTAGGCGATGACTGAAGTTCGGAGCGAAAAAGGGGGTCTACCAAGCCTGAAATTTGCTCCGAAAGTGGGCCGAATACGGTAGGCTCGGGCGAGTGCGAGGTGCCTGCAAGGTAGAGACGCAGAGTCATTGTGGGTCCCTGCGCTCATGATGTGTGTGCTATACGCACTCTGGTCCTGCAAATCGATATTGCCGTGTGGGGGCGTTCGGCCCTACCGTAAGATTCGGCCCACTTTCGGAGCAAATTTCAGGCTTGGTAGACCCCCTTTTTCGCTCCGAACTTCAGTCATCGCCTAGGTAAGGGGTCTACTATCACATCATTACGAGAGCCAGATATCCCCAGCCTGGTGGTACACTGCCTTTAAGATTTACCGAGAAAATTTAGCTAAGGGTTTTCACAGTGGCGTTGTATGCTAAAAGTTCCTACGATTCCTACGGTTACAAAGAGCGATTATTGAGTCGCTCCATCTGTCCAAATCTGATTTGAAACGAGTTGTACAAAATCGTTCTGAAGGTCGGCAAAACACTTTTTGAGAAGAGAGATACCAACCATTAAATAGTGTAATACTTTTTGGACACCCTGTATTAGTAGTTTTTCTCCTCTTGCTGAATAATTTCAAGTTGCATTCTCAATCACAAATATTGTGAGATTTTTCTATGAAAGTTGGGTGGTGCGGCAAAATACCCTATTTTCCGGTTTATAAGCCGCACCTTATATAAGCCGCACCCGCCGCAGCGAACAGTGGCGCGAAAGAGCCTTCGAAGAGAAAGTTTTGATCTAACAAACTGAAAACTCGCCGCATTTTGTGACTGCTTTTCATTGCGCATGTTCACGTTTTCAGATATTTCGTTATTCTTTCCAGAGACTCGAACGATTTTGGGGTGTTTGGGTTGTGTCTTTTCCTCAATGATACAATGGAGTTGACCGTGTTCTTTTGCTTTTAAAGATGTTACTGAGGTTAAAGCTGCTGCTATTTTATTCGATTTTAATGATTGTTGATGATGTTGATGTTTCAATGGTGCTTTTAATGCGTCCACAAGAAAGAGCGAGAGCAGAAAGTTACAATCAGGCTACTAGGTAAAGTAGGTGGTAGTTGGCTGCTTGCGCGGCTTCGCACATCGCGACCATCATTTCGCATCAGCCCGCGCGGACGAAGATAATTGCGGCCTATACGCCGGAAAATAGGGTAGTTGTTTCTGCTTTTCTTGTACAGGATAAACAGCCTAAAAAGAGAATTTTGATGCAAAATGCCTCGGGCATACCCTCTCGATAACTACAAACTCTCGTTTTTTTGGAGCCTGAAATAGCAGTAAAACGAAGTCGAATTCGGGTTTGACCCACTTTGGCCCATTTCTAAACAGGTTTTGTTCGTTTATAAACATAGGCAGATTTGTTTGTCTTCCGGGTTTTCCAGGTTTCCAGTGATATTTATGAAAAACCAGCAGGCCTTTCCGGCCCGCTCGGTCCACTCAAGAACCCACCTTCTTTATAATTTCTTGATTTTGTCCTTCATCCACGCTAGTGAATAGCTGCGTGGAGTAGTCTATGTTCTCTACCGGTTTGAAAACTGTGCAAAGTTTCAGCTCAATCGGTTCAACTGCGGGCGTTTTTATAACAAACGAACACATCAACATCCTTAAGTATGAGCTTAATCACTACCAATATATAATAGAAACTATTTATGCTTCCGTCTTCTCAGATGATATAGTCGATGCCGAGTGAGGAGGTGCAGTTGCAAAACTTTTTATATTGCATTGAATTGAGTGACATTCATAATTGAAATATTCGTGATTACACTTATTAAATTTGCTACAGTTATTGCATTCATCATTGTTGAAAGCCTTGGACAAAGCTGTAAGAAGTTTCTCAGCCTCACATTCAGACGCAGATGGAGCAACAGCGATGCGATGGAAGCAGACTCTGGTTCTAGCGCTCATCATTTTAAGTGTCATCCCCATAAGCATCGGGATCATATCAGGGGTGGTAATCGCGAACGGATTCACCGCTGATCAAGTCTGAAAGAAACTTCCTCAGTTTTCTTAGTTTTTGCTTTTCAAACTATAATCTTTCAATCTTGAAATATTTATTTTGTTTTGTTGTTTCGTTAAGGATTTGATGTCAGTTTTGAAACACACTCTTCCAGTATTTCCTCGTTCTAGCATGTTGACCTCAGCTTCTATTTTGAGGAACGGGAAATCTCTCTTTCTTTGCATAGAAAGATAAACAAAAGTTTTGGTAATTAGCAGCCATGATGTTTGAAGTAACAACTAGCTGCCGCAAGAAACATCCCGTACTCATAAATATGATGATGTTTGCGTTTCTATTATCGCATTGGCATAAGAGGATATCGTCTATGTCTTCCAAAAAGTGTAAATCACCTATCCATGTCTTTCTTTTGTAGTATCTACCAAGTAAGTATTCTTTTTCGGGTTGCTTCGCCATGTTTTTCTCTTTGTTTCTTGTTTCGTTGCATTTTCTCCTTTGCTTGCCTTCTATTTGCGATTTTGTGTTTTTATTTGTAATAAATCTGAGAAGCTTGTCTTGGACTTCAACATCCAAACATCGGCAACAATCCAAATACTTTATTTTTTACTCGGTCGAGTTAGTGTGTAACCACAGACGCAACATTTGTGGACGCCTGAATCGTTCATGCATGCATAAACGAATCAGTAGAGGTGCTTTATTTGTTTGTGGCGACAATTGGTCTGGCTGAAACGATTGAAACTTAGCATTCATATTTTTCTTTCGGAGACAATCACCTTTCCTTTTTTGTTGAATGTCATTGAACATTGTTTTTGTCAATGGATATTCCAATTATTGGCTCTTTCTTCATCCTTGTGATTGCTATAAAATATAAATAGAATTACATAGTTATGACTGAGTCTGGAGATGGTAAATCGTCTGGTATACCGATAGCAGAATTAGACGTTGAACAAATCAGTGCGTTGCAAAGACAAGTGGAGCAGGAATTGGGTTTCTTTCAAGAATCTGCCAACCAATTGAAGGTGAGTTCATGTAATTTTTTGCTTACAGTTGTGCATGGAGATATCTTTTATTTTCTGGATTTTGTTTCCATTGATTATTTGGCGCTATTCCACATAAATTGACCCAAAAAATGAAGATCGTGAATTTCGCTAAAACTTCGTCTAGGGAGGTTATTTGGTGCGCTGAACACGAGTATGATGTTTATTTCTTGCGAAAGCGCCATTCGATGGAGTTACGGTAGGATTACGGTAGGGGTCAAAATCACGGATTTGCCCGAAACTTGGCCTAGAGGGGTTATTCGGCCCGCTGACGCCGAATATCACATTGGTTTTGTACTGTAGTGTCGTTTTCTCGAGTTACGGTGGGTAGACGGTGAGAGGTCAAAATCTCAAAATCCGCTGCAATTTCGCACAGAGGGGTTATTTGACATGCTGATTAGAAATGTCACAATTTCTCCGCACGAAAACGTCTCCCTGCATGGTTACAGTAGTTTTACGGTAGGGGTCAAAATCACAAATCGGCAAATGTATCTTTCCCTGTGCTTTGCTTAGGCAAAAGCCGCAGCAGAGTGTGTAGCGCGCGGCGGAGGCCATGTGTGCAAAGCTTCACGATCATCCGAATCGCCATACACCCGTTTCGGGATGAACTACGTTTTACACCCGTTACCGTGTATCTACCGTAACCCGAGAAAATGACGCTACGGTTCAAAACCAATGTGATATTTGGCATCAGCGGGCCGAATAACCCCTCTGGGCCAAATTTCGGGCAAATCCGTGATTTTGACCCCCTACCGTAATCCTACCGTAACTCCACCGGATGGCGCTGTCGAACGGAATAGCATCATATTCGTGTTCGGCGTACCAAATAACCCCCCTAGACGAAGTTTTAGCGAGATTCACGATTTTCATTTTTTGGGTCAACTTATGTGGAATAGTACCGATTATTTTTAGCTCCTTATCAAAAAGAATGAGCAAAGTATAGCAGCAATGGAAGTGCTAAAAACGGCCACACCCGGTCATACTGCCCTGATACCGTTATCTGAATCAGTGAGTTTACATTCTCTTCAAATTTCTCGTAACATAATATTATAAAAGAATTTTATTTGTGGCGTTAGCCGTTTAATGTGCAGTTTTTTCGTGTATGTTCTTTATTCATGAATTACGCTTGCTTACAGAAAAGAATTTCCTCTAATTTCTGTCCCGTATTTTCTTTGCCAGTGTCCTTTCTCCGAAGTACTTTTCTGCAGTGTTTTTAGCCTCCTGCAGTTTGCATCATTCCCTGTCTTATTTTCATGAGTAAGTTTTCAGATGTATATACGAGCAGAACTGAATGATCCTAGTAGAATGATGGTGGAAATGGGTACTGGTTATTATGCTGAAATTAGCCGCGAGAAAGCTGCCGAATTTTTTGAACGGAAAAAGAAATATATCATGCAACAGGTGGGTGCAATTACAGCTTGAGTCTCTTCGTTTACACATGTTGTTTTTGCTCCGCGTCAGGTGGAAACCATAGAAAAAATTATCATGGATAAAAAACGCACTCGAAACATTATATCGGATACGTTGCAAATGAAGATACAAGCGCAACTTGCTCAGATGCCGTTGCCAAAGTAAGCAGGAATGTGCTTTAAGTCAAGATATCTCAGATTTCATCACTACTTCTCTTCATTCGTATCATTTTTACCTTTTTTCCTTGACAGTCAGGATTTCATTGCTTGTTCGCCCAGTGTACTGATTTGCTATCGTGCATTCATTCTATTTCTCCATCCACTGAGATTTTATGTTATTTGCCTTGCTTATTTGTTACATCATCATTTGTTGAAAATATAAAATGTTCAAAAATGAAACATTCTCTCGAAATGTTGTTTGAAAGGCACGATTATCTGAACGGAGGTTTTCATTTCATTTTTGTTCAAATACATTCACACAGATGAGAAATGAGCCTTTGTCGACTTGTGAACGGAAGTTTATTCTTGAAGGTTTCGCTGAAAATCAGGTTAGTTCAGCTTTGTGTTGGTTTTGTTTCTTTTTTTCTGAAGTAAAACGAGGTAACAGTTAATTTGAGCTCAGTTTTTCATAATTTTGTCTTTTCAGTATAATCTCTCCTGCGATTTGTTGTTAGATACTACATGTGTTATTGACTTCAACATGTTCATATCTTCGTAACGGTTGACTAACATTTTTATCGATTCAGAATATCTTGGTTTCATTAATGCGATGGCTCCTGTATTGCAATTGTTTTCGTGCTGCAGTGCAAGCACAGTAACAGTGTGGTTTGTACGTAAAATCTGCAAATTTTGTTAGAATAGCTGCTTACTGCCGGAAAGTCATGCGAATGCGATTAAATAGCCTGATCATCACCTGCAATAATCTACTAAAAACAGTCGACCGTTGCCAGAGTCCTGGCAAAAAAGTCTTTTGATTTGAAAGTAGTAGCATAGCTTGCGGCTCGTAATAGAATACTTTCTCCCCACTTTAGATACGCTTCTTTCCGTTAATTCATAGTACTCCAGCTAAAACAGAGAAAGGTTGACGAAGTACGCGTTTTGTTTTTAAAAGACTATAATTTGGATCTATTATTATTTGTAGGTTATTAAAAGGGTAGGTAGGATTAAGTCGTCCAGAGAAGAGCAGCATGCTAGCTTTATATCGCGGAGATATTATCTTGCGACATCTTTTTCCAGCGCTTGGACGGTCGCACTCTGACCGACTTCCGACAAGTGAAGCTTGTTGTGGGTGCAGAATGTGGAACAGCTCTGTGTACCATGGGAGATACCAAGTGAGTTGCATGTTCATTTTGCAGCTTATGAATCTCATTTGAACATTTGATCATATCAGAGTTTTATGCGCAGTCAGCGCCACTCTCACAGAACCACGTGCTACTCGTCCAAACAAAGGTTTTGTGGCCGTGGATGTAGATATGAGTCCTATGGGGAACCCTGGTAAGTGCTTCAATCTTCTTTTTTTTCAAATTCAATTCTTTTGATTTGTTTTCTGTTGTTTTTGGTACTTTTGAGCTTGGTGATTGTTCCTTTTCAATCTTTTCTTAAGCTAATGAGCACAATCGCTTGGGTGAACGAGGTCTCGAGCTTACTCGTATGCTCGAACTAGTATTGAGAGACTCTCGCTGCATCGATGTTGAGGTAAGTTTTCACTTTCTTGCTTTGTACACTGCCTTCTTAATAAGACTTCAGTCTCTTTGCATTCGAGCTCACAAAGAGGTCTGGAAGTTGAGAATTGACGTTAGGGTATTGGATGATGACGGAGCGTTGCTGGATTGTGCATCTGTAGCTGCTGTTGCTGCATTATATCATTTCCGGCGTCCAAACGTTACTGTTGAGCCTAACCGAACCATCATTGTAAGCTTTTCTCATTCATTTTTCTAGGAAAGGGAGAAAGCGCTTTTCATTGTTTCTAACAAACATTATTTTGATTTTTTAGCACTCAGAATATGAGCAAGCTCTTGTACCGTTAAACATCTACCACATGCCCATATGCGTCTCATTTGGATTTACCAAGGCAGGGTAATCATCTTATACTATCATTGCTCGGAAATCATCTCATGTGTTTTTTTTTCTAGTAATTATGTTGTGATAGACCCTACGGATAAGGAATCGCAGTGTTTGTACGGTTGCTTAGTGATCGCTTGTAATAAACGACGTGAAGTCTGTGCTCTCCATCAGTCGACTAATCTTATCCTCAACACTAGCACGGTAGGTTTGAATTTGAATTCTGCGTTTTTCCTGTGAAAATTTACGTCTTTTCAGATAGAAGCATGTGTGAAACGAGCCATGCAGAGAGCTGTTGATTTATCGGAACTGATCTCGACGGTGATAAAAGATGATGCGACGAAACGTGCTAGTTATCAGAAACCGGCTGGATTTGAACTTACCATAAATGCGCAATTGCTAACTACAAAGGAGGCTCAGGTTAGCAAATCTCAATTACATTCCTTCTACCAGCGCTCTCATAGAATGCCTTGAGGTTGTGACCGGAAATAAGTTTTTTCTAACCTTTTTTTACAGCCTAATGAGCTTGTCGCCCCCGCTGTTGAACTTAGAGAAGAACACCTCGAAGTAGGACAACCTAGTGTCATGCTGAACGTAAGAATTTTTTTCAAAGACTTTTGTTGGCGCCATTACCCATTTTTCTAGCAGAACCCGCTAACAAGAGATAATGGGTCTGAATTTGATGAACGCACAGAGGAAAAAGTGCTAGCTGGACAAGTGGCATCGATAGTGGATGGTGTAGACAACGTTAGCATGGATACTGTTACCGATCCTGGACCTTCAACTCCAACGCAAGCCAAGCAGAGAATCAGCAACAGAAAGGTATTTTTTATCTGCATTGACGATTTATACTTTTATTTTTATGCCTTCCATGTAGTATTTTGTGAAATTTGTATATAATCTGCAAGTGGCGTGGACCTGATTTGTTTTTACCATACACCATACATGAGTTTCAGCGTGAGCTTGACGAGGTGGCTGATTTGCTTGAAGATCTTGATGACCTCGAAGGAGAGGTAGTGGAACTGCAACCTCAACCCTCTAAGCAAATTCGCGAACCTAGCATGGATATTGATCTGTTGAAGGCGAGAAAGAAGACTTAGCATTGCTTTCCTCGTTTTTGTCTGTTTTTTCTATATTCTTTGTTACATTTGTTACTTTGTTGTCGTTATCCAAATTATTATAAACAAATTGCTCATGCGGTCCGCTTAATTAACCTAAAATTAGGCAAAAATTTATTACAATCATTCAACGAGCAAATATTCATGTACATAAGAGATTGTTGTAATTTATCAATGTTGAACATAGAATTTACAAGATCCTTTGAGCTCCAGATGTGACCGGTGGGATTGCTGAGGAGCTCAGTGAAGGAGCGGCTGAAGTGCCGACTGCCGGTAGCGACGGTAGGCCACTGCCATCAACAAGAGTTTGAATAGCAGAGTTTGCCTGAAAGTCATCTCATTTCGGTCTTTTCGTTGAAAGGTGTTTTAGACTTACTGTAGCGCGACATTCGCAGTATGAACCAGCCGTGAGCGCAACGCTTCTCATCACACCAGTGTCATTGCGCACGACTTCAATTGTTCGATGACCGAGTTGGCAGCCAGCATAGCCTAAATTGCATCGTCGTTATTTAGGCCACGGGGATGGAGATGATGTTACCGCTGAGACAATTTGTGTCAGTATCACAAAGAAGCTCGTTGATGTACTGTGGAGAGTAATTGTCGGGTAGACGCCTCCAAACCCAACAAGCGGAGCATAGCGCTACTGTACCTGTCACATCAGGAGTGACTCCCTTGGTTGTGCAGGAAAGGACGAAGCGTTCTCCTTGAAAATCAGCGATAGATTGAATTCACTAAGAGCATCGTCAAGTCATCTGCTGATCAAACTTGCATTTATTTTCAATCACTAATTTCCCACGATTCGGTCTATTTGTACACATTCGCAAGGTCCCGCACGGCCGCCTCATTTGGACCCTGCACCGCGTCTGTGGATGTATCCCTGGGCATTTTCCCACGCCCCATAATTCGATCGCCGCTCAGGCGCGAAAAAATGTCTGAAGATAGGTCGCAGACTCAACGCAAGGTCTAAGCGAGGCGGCCTGGCGAGACTTGAGCCGCACGGTAGCGACACTCTCATCCACACATAGGATACCAATTTAACTCAAATCGTGGAAACCATGCATAGTAAAGGTCCACTACGCATAGGCAGCGAACATGGCAGACCGGAAGACGGTCAAGAGGCGCGATTTCTTCGGCTCACCAATTTAAAACTCTAGTGCTATGCGAGCTTCAAAAATTACCAGATATAGTGCATTAGCTTACTGTCTGTCTGAGGTCACCACTTGCTGGGTTTCATGTTGCTGTGAATCGGACTGAAATATCTATGAATTTATTCTGAAATGCATTTTTATGAGTTTTTGACCTTCAAAATTGCTGTTTTGTTCTTTCTCGTGTATCAAGATTGAGCATCTCATGGAACTATCTAACATATTTTCTTCTAAATTTTATATACCTTTAGAAAGTTGCAGAACACTTATGTGCTATTTGGTATTTAGCTGGCAATAAAAATCGCGCCTCTTGACATACATCCTTGGAGGGGGGGGGAAGGAGCCACCCCTCCGAGAGTGGGTCGCCAAATTTTTGAAATTTAATTACATGGGTTTTAAAAATTTGCAGGTGACTTGTTTGTTCTTGTAAATAATTGAAATAATTTTTAAATTTTTTAGAAATTCAAATTAGACTTGTAAAAAAATTTTTTTCGGGGGCGTGGCGGCGTCAGCCACGTCCCCTTTTTCAAAATTTTTAGAGGTTATGGACCCGCGAAAATTTGAGAAGCACCCTAAAAATTTTTTCGGAGGCTAACGCCATGCACTTTCATTTGGAACAAATTTCTGCCGCGTCCCCTCCCCCCCCCCTCACTCCCGGGTCCGAAATCCTGGGGCCGCCACTGGCAGCGAATGATAAGCACGTCGCGAACTTCGTTTCGCCGACAGGGTACTTTCACGAGGACAGACATAAGGCTTGCACCACATCACAGCTAATACTAAGTGACCACACAGGAGCCCATTGGTTCAACGTCTAAGCCGACAAGCGCAGCGGTAAAGGCTGATGCAGGATGAAGGCGCAGAAGCACTAGTAAATGAGCAGGTGCGAACGCGAAGTGCGCGTTCCTTTTCGTAAATCTGACCCTCCTGCGCTCTGCGGCTAAAGCCGCGTTTGCGGCCAAAGGTATTGCGCCTTCGTCATGCAGCAGCCTACTCAGACAAGTGGGAAGTTCGCGGGTGCTTACTCGGCCACCAGTCATCCATGCCGCGAGCTGCCCGGTATAAACCGATATTGGACCCGATAATTGACCGCGGCGCATCCTTTAAGCGCCCGATAGGCTGCCCACAGTCATGCGGGTCAGGTCCTCGCGACCGCCTTGCTCTGGCCTTGCGCTGGTTAACGTATATATATGGTGCAGCATGACGAAGGCGCAATATCCTCGGGCGCGAACGCTGCTTTAGCAGCCGCAGAGCGCATGAAGCGCAGAATTTACAACGATGAGGATACGCGCGCTGCGTCCGCGCCCGCTTAACTAATACTGCTTCTGCGCCTTCGTCATGCAGTATCCTTTAGCTTTTATTTGTCGCAAAATAATTAAATAGTCATGAACTCAAACTCACCAACAATGTTTTGAGTACTAGAATTCGCTTGCACAATTTGTCTCTTTTGACGGCGTCCATGACGCCATCGTTTCCTCCATCTCATTTTTTCATCTGAACTATCGCTGTCGTCATCGTCATCTTCATCAGAATTTTCGACTGCTTAAAATATTTTATGGTGTTCGAAAAGACTGTTCACGCATGCTCATAAGCTTTTTATTGTACACTCATTGGCAGAAAACTGATGACATAGGGGAGACTGCAAAGGGGCAATAAAATATCTTAGAATGTGCGGTTTGGTCCAAGTTGTTTAAGACCTTCGATTGAACACTACAATGGGTAGGGAAGCTTCGGCAGCTTGAGCCTCCCCGCGGACTACTGGTCTTGCAACGACATGCCACAACTTAGCAGAAGGGCCAGTTGTGCCAATGAAGGCAGCTCAGAATGGCGGAGTTCGTTCCCTTATCTCGCCAAACTCAGCGATCTTAGCGACTTCTATTTAAAAAAAACCGCCCTGGTTTTGGAATAGGCAAAGGTTTCCAGAATGAAAGAAGTCCGGACTAAAAATTCTGCTGTATTACTACATCAAAAGTGCTGACAACTTATCACTCTTTCATAGCAGAAACCAGCGGAGAAAAAGAGATTCCCTGCCAATGTTATATGTGTTATGTTATATTCTGAGCAATAACGAAATGGTGCATGCAGTTAGTCTGTCCCAATCGGGATCGGGTTGAAGGCGGGAATTGCGCGCTCGCAACGCTAGGAGTCTGCGTTGCATATGCGTGCTGTCGGAGACAGCGAAGAGATTGCGGAGAGAGCAGACAAGGAAGCCGTAGGCGTGAAGCAAAACGCTAGCGACGCGGATTCCCGCCATGCCAGTTTGGATCTGATTGGGATTAGAAAACTGTGTGCATTTCGAATTTTGTACAAGTTCCTGTCCACAACTTTTCTGCAACGTGCATGCTGTGTGATTCGATGATTGAATAATTATTTTGAGAGCCGGGGATCGGAAAAATTATGGTTTTTACAAGCATGCGTTATGCGAGAAATAGAAATTCTTACGTGCTCCTCTATTGTGCATTCCTTTGTCTTTTCGAGCGAATCGATATTTTTGGCAAGTGCTTGTGAAGTTTGTGGACTGCAGGATTTCGGTAATAGTCGCGTTCATAAGACCGACCTAAAAGCGCAAAACTCTAGTTGATCACGAACACCGAAATAAGAAGGCAGCGGCGCGATTGTGACGCCTTTCAGTCGTCTAGCTGCACGCAGGTCCGTGACTTAAAGGTATCGCATACGCGCGTCGCGATGGGCGGCGCAATTTGTGCACTGTCTGCGTCGATAAAACGAATTTTTATCAGCTTGAAATGTCATAATCAAAGATCAGAAGCTGTGTCTTTAGCGTCTAGAGATTTTTGAATCAAGTGCTTTTACTCGTTGCAGAAAGTAGATCTCGCTGATTATTCGTTTTTCTGCACCTCATGAAGCTTCCTTCGCATATCATCACGACAATCGAGACACGCTTGCGTAGTGCAGTTCATCTCTTCCTGGAAAAGTAGTAGTTTCAATTTCTTTATTCATAATGGACGTTTTGAGTTGCCTCTATAGTTGACGCCTGTCCTGGTTCTTCTTGATTTATTGTGAGATCAGGAAACGACAACATTGCTTCTTCGAGCGTTGCCGCTTGAAAGCGAGAATCGTACGGTAGGCATGGTAGTGGTCCAGCAGGTGGTGTTATACATTGGCACTGAAATTACTTGGTCTTTCATAGAGACGACAGAATAATATTGAAAATTGGATCGGACGGGTCATTTCTTATAAAGGCAGCGTCCAGGCAAATTCATGCTCCCGCATTAGTACCTAGCCTACAAGAAGGCTTTGAAAGAAGGACATCGGTGTTGGTGCGTCCTCTTATGTAGCCTTTGAATGAAAAAATGGACCTGAACCCGCGAAAGTGACATCAAGTTACGCCCACCCTCTCACCCTCCGCCCACTCTAGTATAGTCGAGTAGATTTTTCGTTTAATATAGTGTGCTTGCACAGAAGGTGAAATGCGGTGAAATTTTTTGCGTGAACAAATAGCTTCGACTGTGACGCCGGTCAATTGCGCGCGCAAAATGCCGGTAGTACTGGCGTGGCTATTTATTCGCGCACAAATTTCACCGCATTTTTCTGTGCAAGCACACTATATCAACACATTGACGACAAGGCCGATTTTTCGATTACTGCCATTTCGGACAGGAGCCTTTTTTGCTCTGCCAAACTTACGACCCACCCGTGGGTCGTATTATCCGAAATGGTAGTCTTTTTGTAAGAAATTCAAAACATGTCTCTAAGAATATCCCCACAAGGGTTACGAAGGCGCTGATTATCAAACCACGATTTGTTTCAGTTTTTGGCAGTATAGGGTAAGATTACGTTAGTCACTCTGTACGAACCCAACATCACGGATTTTCGTGAAAAATAGTGTTTCGCGGTTATTTCACATGCTGATCACGATTATAGTGTCCACTTTGTTCACTATTTTCCCACAGTGGGACTACGGTAGCAGTACGGTAGAATTTGTTTAAGAATCAAGAAACTGATGTAAGAAGGCGGTATTAGAACTTGAGACTATCATTTTCGTAATCAGCATGCTAAAAAATCTATATATGCAAGGTTTGAGCTTCCTGAAATGAACGATGCGAAAAATCAATAAAATCGATAATTTTTGATGGGACACTCAAAAATTATCGATGACAATTGATGACATCAGTCTCATGCTTTCCCTGTATTTCTTGTGCATGTAAACTTATATTGTCAAAAAGAGCACCACTCTGTGAGAAATTCGAGCTAAAATCTGTGCCTTACCTCTATCTACGGTACACCTACCGTAACATTACACTACAGTATCCCCGGACCCGGACCACTCCGGCTAGATTTTCGCCAAGGTGTCCCCAATCACGTGACAGAATACCGTAGAATTCCATCGCATGCTGGCAAAGTCAGAGCTTTCGAAAACTTACGACCCACCGGTGGGTCGTATTGTCGTCAATGTGTTAAGCAAAAACTCGACTGTACTGAAAGTCGTTGTGCGTTCTGGATGAGTCCATGAGAAATCGGGTTTTTGAGGTTCTTGCACATTTTCATATCAAATCAGAGCCACGGGAAGGCCCAGATTGACAACAACATGGAGGAACAAACTTCGAGTGATGCTGCTTTCAACGAAGTATACGAGGAGATTGAGGAGATATGGGGCTAAAGGCGCTGTTCATCCGGTTTGAAGATTCAGAGATTCTAATGCTGTATGATTGCAGTCCCACAACTAGGTAATAGCATGAATCGCGGTGCAAAAGTAATTTCCGAGGTGAGAAAATTGCTCCATAAGGTAAAAGTGGCCCGGGCTCACCGCCCATGAACGGGGGTGGTCTGAAGATAATAGGTAGAACTGGGCTTCATGGTAGTTAGATTTGCCGCAAATCTGATAATTGTAACGAAGGACGGATTTGTATAATCCTAAGTACATTAGGCTCGATTTCGGAGTTATCATCTTTAGACCACCCAAGTTGATGGGAGGTGCCGCCTGGGCCGCTTCTACATACTGAAGCGATTATCTCGCTTCGGTATTTACTTTTTGCAGCGGGACCTAGGCGATTACTCAGTTGGGGCCATAGTATTACACAGCATTTGAGTTTCAGCAACTTGAATTTTGAATGGGCGGTGCCTCCGATATGGTGCCGTTGCGCTGTCGACAACATTTGCGCGTATAAGTTCCCCAGGGCACTTAAAGTCATGAGCCTATGGCCATTTTTTTAAGCCGAATGATTTCAGCAAAGCAAGAACATTATGTAGGCTAGCAGATCTTGCGCTCAATATAGTGTGTTTGCAGTGCCGACATTTACTGACAACATCTGCGCGTGAAATCAGCGAGCACACAATCGAAAATGTGCACTCTATGGTCGATTCGCAAACACAGATTGGCTTCTTCAAAGGCTTAGCTCTTTGTTGACGAGCAAATGCCGCCGGCAAACTTGGCACCGCAACGGCACCAGTCCATATGTTTTTCAGAGTTCGAATACGTTACTTCACAGTGAAATAAATTTCAATTTTATGCAACTGACTCATCTACACTTGCATAAGCGAGTAAATAATGAACTATGCGCAAGAAGAGTCACTGATATGTTTGAGAAAGTACTGATGCGAAGAAGAGAGATCGCTGTATCAACAACTACGATCAGTGTTCAGTCTATTATTAGCCTGCTGCTAACTTAGCTAAATGCTTAGGTCCATGAAAATGTTTATATGACAAACCCCACCTACAATTCGGGCCAAAAAGCGAGGTCATGTTGGGCTGCTTCAAATTTTGGCGCAAACAAATATTTGCTTAGGTTTTAAAGTCAGCAGAAGAAAGGAATTATACATGGCTAAATTCAAAGATGAAGTCTAATATTTCATCGGTTTTTTGTATTTGTGAAGTACACTGATTGCGAAAGAATTCAATAGAAGAAAGAAGATTAAAGAACTGGGCTAAATATTTCTGCAAATAGCACCGGAGGAGATGTGGTGGACTGAAGGAGTGGCCAATTCTTTACTTGTAGGCAAATGGAGTGACTCTAAGTTACTGTTTTTCTTAAATTTCCGGGGTTGTAGGTCCGCGAAAATTCATGGAAAGCTTTCCAATTTTTTTTCTTCTGAAGAGCGTGACTGATGAATTCGCTCGGCTTGATGCTATTATTTAGTACCAGGTTTGTCCGTGAATGTAGCACCAGAAATCATGAATTCATTTTGTATTGAAAAGCTCTATAATAGAATTTTCATCGTAGTACATATTCGCCATTATTTTGTGATGGATATCTGTATTCACAGCTGTAGTTAAATTTGTTTTCAGAACGGAAATTATGAATAAAGATGTCATAATTTTTTTATCCAGCTGAGCTTCCGTTTGCCAGTGAAAGAATTTGGGTAATAGCAAAAATAAATCTTAGAAAATAGATGTAAACTCATGGCATGCGAAGCCAGGGCTTCACTACGGACACAGTCGACATCTCGCTGACCAAGCACTCTTTCATTCTTCTTGCATCTGTTGCCTCTTCTATGCACGTACTATCTAGTCGAACGCAATTGCGTCCAGTCTTTGAGTGCGATGAATCTCTTATACTTGAGAAAAAGATTTTATGTACGTAGCTCGCAAGGTTTAGTGTATACTAAAGTCCACTTCGTAGTAAAAAATATGTATTAGCTGCATATGAACCGATAAGGATTATAAGCTTGACAAAATTATGCAAAAGTATGCTCAATTCTTGAGTTTTCGTAGATCGATCTTTTCAAAAATCATGCATTTTTATAATGACGGTGTTCAAATCTTTCCAGGGTAATTTTTCTCTTTGAGAAAAGGAGTAATGCGTTAACGAGAATCACAAAATCCATCAAGAGTGACTACTGTAAGAAAAATCTTGGTATCGCATTTTTATATGTTGAATATTCTCTAGACATTATTACTCAATTATTTTCTATTTTCAAAAAACCAAAACATTTGTTCCAAGAACTTTATAGACAGCAATGTTCATTAATAACGTGACAGCGAGATTTCTGAAAGTTTTATATTCAGAGACTCTATGGATTTTGACGTTTTTTTGGGTCCCTCTTTCCAAAATCATTTTTTGTCACTACCAGACAACAGTTTTGATCGATATGCCATTACCATGCGTACACACTATCATAATCTTCATAATCCCCACTGATGACTCATATCATAGCCTCAATCTGCATAAAAAATGCACAGTCACTTGAATTAGCATATTATCCATAACCATCACATTTTTTGATGACGTGTCATCACTCGTTGCGTTCCCTTCCCTCCCCTTGAAATTTCTTCGGTTCTAAATCGGTCTTTCTTGTTGTAGCTATTGAGCAAACATAAAAAAGCAAACATTTTGCTTGTGTAGAAGGAAAAGTAAAGACCAGAAAACAGAAATGAGCGTTATAATCGCTAAGAAGTGGAAAAGAAACTGAGGGAAGTCATTCTGCTAACGAATAAATACGGCTAATTGCTGTCTGCCCCAAAATATTTTCAAGTGGCAAAAGTTTAGCCCACCCCCCCCCCAGTTAAATCTTATGGGTACCTTGTATTGTTTATCGTTCTGCCCCAATTTGGAATTTAGCTTGAATCTGACGTAGGTGAATGCGGTTTTTTTCAATATGCGAAACGCTTTGTCATGGCACAATATAACACCTATCAGTGGCCTACCGAGGGGGGGGGGCGGGCGTTCCCCCACCTCCGAGAATAGGTCGCGAAATTTTTGAAAGTTACTTAAATGTGTTATAAAAATGTGCAGGCGACTTGTGTTTACTTGTAAATGATTAAAATAACTTTTAAAAACTTTTAAAATTCAAATTAGCCCTGTGGCTGACGCCACGCCTCCTTTTTCTAGAATTTTGGGGTCAGGGGGCCGCAAAACGCACTCCGAAAATTCACCACCACCTTCGTTCAAAAAGCCCCCCCCCCCTCCGAGCGGAAATCCTGGGTACGCCACGACACCTATATAGGCAAAGATCATTGTTTCGAAATGAACGGACTTTTGCATACGAAAGATGCGATAACTCGATAAATAGCGAAAAGGAAGAAATGGATTTAGAAGGTAAGTCTAAAAAACGGCGAATGCTAGTTAGAACTTAATAACTTAACTTAATAATTATTTTGTAGTTAACTTAACTACAAAATAATGACAACCACTTGGTCCGATTCTTTCTTCAGGTTCAAGTAATTAACTCAGTAAATTCAGGTTCAAGTAATTAACCCAGTAAAATTTTTGCATTAATTTTGTTCGGGTAGAATTGACGTAAGTATGCAATTTATGCAAATCTTGAGCGTAACTATGATTTCGAAAAAGAGGGGCAGAGGGGAGATGGGGGGGGGGGAAGTTGGAGGAAGGACTATAGGATCGTTTCGACCGGAAGATATGTACGTAATACTGCCGTCCATACTCTCAAATTTGTATTGCTGGTTGTTTCAAGAATTTTATATGGGATTTCTGAATCTATGCTACTGATTTCTTCGTTGTATTTTCGCGTTATTTGCATAAGTTCTAATCAACGTATGTATCATTTGTAGGAATATGATAGGTTTTTTACCAATGATAGCAGAGAAACTTTCCTTCAAAATGATCAATATAGCTCAAATAAAACCAAAATTACGATAAAGAAAATACTCTGCTAAAAGAGCCTTGACTGAGATGAGCAGACAACAAGATCACAATTCATCGTAAGCGTTTTGTTTGGCTATAGGACTAAGCGGCGACGACACTCATTTGATCAGTGCTTCCTCTTGAAACAATACATATTCATGGGTAGTCGCACATTTTTTAGCGACGAAACCCAAATTCCGGGGAAACATTTCATTGGAAGTTGTAGAAGATCTTTTGCACTTGTGGGTAAATAGAGCAATCGACTGTCGCGCTTGCAAAGATTTCTACATATTGACAATTGAAGAAGGTGATGCGCAAGGAAAGATTGGATCTTTGGGGTAGAGGTGAGCTCTGGTGTGTTTTGAGAAGAAGTTGTGGGGAAAAAATCAAAGATAAAACCTGAGGTTGTGGTTGCGATGTCGTTCGTGACGTTTGCGAATACTGTGAGAGAATACTGTGAATACTAGCGAGTATCAGTATGACGATCCTCATGTCGAGTGTTGAACTCACACGGGAGTCCACGCCCCGTTCTCCGGTATTAACTCACCCTGCGACGCGCGATGCGAACTCGGTCGACCACGCGCCAATGCGCGATCGGCAAAGTACGAAGCGAAGACGCGCGCAGACGAACAACGACGATGAACTTTTGTGAACTTTCGCTATTGTTAGAAATGACATTGACAATCGTGCAATGAACTCGATGTGAATTGTGTCGTGAAGAGTTGCATTACATACATATAGTTGAAGTAGCCTAAAAACACTCATGCATACAGTCTGCAGGTCGAAGTTTTATTTGCACAGAAATATACAGTGTGGACCAAGATGCTTTGAGCACTTCAAAAATCAAAGAATCAAGTGTTGCTGCTGGTTCGAGTATATACGTCTTACGTCACGACTCAGAACCTTTGAGCCTGCGAAGCGCTTAAAGGCAGTGTCCCGGCAGATTGCAGATTTTGCAGTTCCATCTTCATGTCTTGGGCCTTTTCAACCCGTAGACCCCGAATTTTAGCTTTGAAACGGGTGAAAAGACCTTTTTCGGCGCATTTACCCAGTTTCCAAAAGCAGCTTGGACGAGAATATGGAAAGCTGAGAGGCCCTGGCACGGAGACCCTGCTGCCTATAGTTTTTACTTTGCATAACATGCACAATGCGGGAGAGCGGTCGTGGGGACCCTTCTCCCTTCTCAGACACTCGCTGTTGACTCGCGCCGGAGATCCGCCCCTTTTTGAGGGATTCACGGGAAAGGGCGTAGACATGCGCGAGACAATATTTTGACAGTTTCTGCGGATGGTCGCGAAAGGAAATCGGGAGATGATGTGTGACTCAACGAGCAGTTTCGCAATATCGACGCGCGTTTCAAATCTCAGCTCATATTGCATAATTTCAGGTTTTTTGCTACTTATTCTCTAAATTCGTGCATTCCATCCGTCCTACCTAAGCCCTCTCCTTTCCGTTGTTTCATTCCAATCCAAATTCAACTTTATTTGAAATCAATTTTGAAGCTTCTTGTCTAGAAATCGAAGCTCGACTATCTCCTTGATTGTGGGATGTCACATTTTGTCTTGTCATATATTCAATAAGTAGGCTCCACTGTTTCCTCATTTCGCACCTTCTTCTCATTTTTAAGGTTGCTCTGGATGCTCTTGGCTTATACGTTGATGATTTGCTGTTACCAGCTTCAGAATTAATGAAGAACCCACGATGTATGTTTTGGAGAATCCCAAGTTTGCATTATTAGTTTTCATTGGTTTAGATGGTGGACAAATCTTGGAAGACGACAGGGAGCGATCAAAAGCCTTTGACATGCTCGCATAGGCCAGGATGGATTGGGCGGTCTTCGCTCGCATAGCCCTCGGAAGAGCCTTGTAAGCTACTGGAGTATTGATAAGGCAGATGGACATTCCATATTGCGTTTTGCAGGAGAGATATACGGACTTATGTACTGAATCCGGTAAGAGCTAAACTCCTTCCTCCAAAGGTAAGATGCCAGTGCACTTATTCCCAGTCTTCGTCGACATGGTTTTTTCTTTTCAGAAGAAGCGTGTGATCGAGACTACGGCAAGCAGCTCTTCTGCTGCCAAGGAAATAGAAAAGACCAGCCCCGACGAGTTTTAGCCCATCTGCTACTACTTTTTCTAATTTGCTGTACAGGGTGCGGCAAAAGTCTGGGAGCCTAACTTTGCAGTACTGCAATTACAAAGACACTGATGGTTTTGATTTTAATTTCATGCCACATAATGCTGCGGTCATCCTCTACAGAATACACTTTATTTGGTTGAAAATAGCCGCCATATGTTTTTGTAAGAATGAAAAATACCAAACTAGTACTTTTGCAAAGCAAAAAACCAGAATTTTTGGTGTTTACAATTTTTGCTGTAGCTGGAGATGCTGTTAATGTTTTACAAAACTTCGATGCACACAATATAGAAGAATCTTTGCGCTACTGAATCGTAGTTTTGCTTTTGCCAGGAGCTGTTTTTGCATAAACTGAAAATAAAAGTTTGCGAATGTTACCTACGTGCCAGTGGGAATCCGTCTTCAGAACAAATTTAAAAGCTATAGAATGCTCAACAGGCACTGGGACAAAGGCTATATTTTTTGCATACGTCTTCTAAATTAGAATCTATTGAAATTCGGCCATGGGAACACTTTTTATACTTTTTAAACGATATTTTTAAGTTTTTATTCACGCAATTGTAACCAAAATTCCGGTATGCGCCGTACACATGCTTCTAATTGAAAATCCATTATTTTCGTTCCTGAGCAATGCAAGAAAAATTTTTTCGGAAGTATGTTGTAAACAAAAGTTTGCTCTATCACGATGCGCATTTGCCAAGGTAAAAGAAGCAGTTATTGTGAAGACGTGGGGCGAATTCCATTACGACTACCTGCGTGCCATGACAGGTGGACTTGCCAAGATTTTGTTGGGCTGCGTGGAAGCCAAAAGAAGCAGTTTTGCAATCTAAGAACTGGGCTGTATCTGCAATGGTTCGAATTATGTGTGCGCCAAATTTTTCGTTTCTAGGTACTTCCCTTCTCGTTTTGTACGAAAAAGTACAGGCTCCCAGACTTTTGCCGCACCCTGTACTTACATATCACTATCATATCATTTGCCTTAACTCTACTCCCGCTTTTGCGTATCACTTATTTGCATTCCGAGATTCTCATTGTTTAAACGGTTACCAAGTACACTTCTATCTCATCATGTAATTTCGCTCTTTTTAACACGTTTCTCCTGAGATTTCAACGGAAGTGCCCGAAGTTAACACGTTTAAAAGTGCGAAAAGCAGCGAGATGACATGGTACCTATGGGAATCTTGCTAGGGAACAAACGATATATACCCTCGATATCATCCCATATGTCTTCCCTCAACATGACGTGAATTACGTGGCTTGATGAGGCGCCGCCTCGCCTCGGGCTCGCGCCACGTTGCGAGCGCATCATTTGGCGCTCAGCACAATGTGGCGCGCTGGCTTTTCCACGTTCTTTCTGTTGCCACGTCACGCCGAAGGTGCGCACGCAAACGTGGCGCAAGCCCGAGGCGAGGCGGCGCCTCATCAAGCCACGTAATCCACGTCATGTTGAGGGAAGACATATGGGATGATATCGAGGGTATATACCTTTATATATGTATATGTAAATACATATAATGTATATTCATACATACACATATAAGTATATACATATATGTAATGTACAGCAAGTAGGGATATAGCGAAATTATTACTGCGAGATAACGCGCTCCAGTTGCGTCGGGACATCAAGATGTGTCGCCCTCGAGCTGCCGCGTATTTCCTGCAGGATGCGGGTCACGTCAAAGCGTTATCTCGGGCAGCATTGTTCCGACACATAATGCTGCCTCGGAATTTCGTCGCGAGGCCGATTACTTGTGTCGCGCCTTCATTCAGAGCTTACACAAAACTTTGGGCTGCGCGAGTCAACAGCGAATGTCTGAGTTGCCGAACGGTAAGCGAGGTCGTCCAAGCGCGCCGGTTCAAGAGCTAATTTCTCGGCCCAGGGGAACATCGACCAGCCGGACTCGCTTGGAGTTTAGTGGGATGACCACCCACGGTCGCAATATCTCCCAGGGCGCGAATCTGCCGGGGCACTGCCTATAATGTAGCGTAGCAGCCTTGATGTCTCCGAGTCGTGATAAGCACCACTACCTCTCCAGCTATCATTCTGTTCCGTAGGCGTTGTCCGCAACAATTCATGTCATAAATTTTGTCTCCATGATTAACTTAAAAATTTCTCTCTCTCCCCACCCCAAGTTCGCAAATATCAAAGATGATCTACTAGATCTGGATTGGGGAAAGACTTTGACCACGGTATTTTTATTGGAGTCACGAAACTAGGCAACATATTTACATGAAATAAATTTAATGTTTATCAAACAGTGTACTACGTAAAAGCAACTTTTTTTCAAAGATCCCTCCTTTGGCGCGAACACAGGAAGACTCGAAGACTCTTAGGAAAGCTGTCCAAGGTGGCACGGACGTAATCCACGTCGATTTCCTTCCACTAATTCTGAAGAGCTCGTCGCATGGACTCCATAGTCTTGTATGGGTGAGCGCATGCTTTGGTCTCAAGAATTGACCATAGGCTGTAGTTGAGGGGATTGAGATCCGGCAAATATACGGAGGCCACTCTGCAGGAATAATAAAGTTTTTAACGTTGCTTTGAAGCCACGCCTGAACAACCTTCGTCTTGTGAGCAGGTGCGCTGTCCTGCTGGAAGCACCAATCTCTCCGGCAAAATGGGTACTGGTCCAGAGTAGCAGTTCCTTCTTCAGAATGCTATCCAAATACGCAGCGGCGTCTACTTTGATGCCCTGAGGCACAAAAATCAGCGGCATCTTGCCGTCGTAAGTGATTGCCGCTCAAATCATCACAGAAGCCGGGTGGAGCTTACTTTCCACAAGTCGACCATTGCTGTTTGCTTCTTGAGCACATTGGATATGATCCTGCTGTTTTGAAAATTGGAAACCCGGTGAAAATTATATCGTCAGAAAAGAGGATCGTTGGTGGCGTGCCTTGGAGAAGCGCTCAAGCAATCGGCGACAGTGGTGGGTCAATTCACATTGTATTGAAGTGCGGCGTTTTCTGCATCCGGTAGAGCTTAATCAAAGGTTCACTTTCACAATGTCAGATTGTCCTACGACTGATGGACTGCTCTGATGGCAGCTCATTCAAGCTTCTCTGCAGATTACGACGTACGCGTTCTCGGATGAGATTCTGGTTCGCGGGAGTGTTCAGTGGCTGGTCTACCGTCCCTAGGGCGGTCCTGGATGCTGCTTGTCTCCTTGGAACGGCGCAGGTTGTACCATACCATGTTCCACGGAATTCGGAGTAGTCGAGCGATCTGCTTTTGAAACTTCCATTTCAAGTGCATCTTCACGATCAACTCGCGCACTAATTGTGAAGGCAAAATCCCGGTATGATTGAGAGTATCAATCCAATTTTTAAAGGGTTATAGAACAGTTCAACTATCATTTACACCAAAGATAAGATATATGATATGATATGATACGACAA